GAGTGGATTCGTGATCAGCAAGGTGAATTACCCAGTCTGTACAAACGATGTCTTTGAGCTGCAACGCATGACACTCCTGGAATTTCGGGCATAAGCACATATGGCGAAGGTGAAGCTGCCACTCAGAATGAATGAACTGCAACCACATGGAAAGAGTATGCAAGGGAATAAAATGTGTCTTGCACCAACTCTTGTACGAAGAGGTCGCCTCCTTGATGTACTTGGCTTTTGATGGGAAGATAAGGGATTTAGAGTTGGCCTGAGCAAGTTCTCTAAGAACAGGTTGGCGAAATGACAACGTCTCAAGTCCAGTAGCCACATGTCCATCCACCAAGTCCACATTGGGGTGCTGCTGCTGAAATTGTTGGCATCTGCATGGAAGGTGATCAACTGCTGTATCAGCAAGCTTCTTCTCCCACTCAAAGTGATTGTGAAGAATGGAGCCCAACGATTGAGGAGCAGACTCTCTCGGCGTCTTAGAGGGGAGGTGAAACGGGATGCAAATGCCTTTGAACTGCTGAATGGTATGAGACAGAAAAGAAGAGACATGGGCAGGAAAAGTGGGGTGAGACAGAAATGGTAAAGTGACTGACTTGTTGTGTCGGGGTACAGAGCAGTTACGAAACTTCAACGCAGACTTGAGCAGCTGTGCCACTCTAGATCTGAAAGGTTGCTCCATGATCTTGGCCATGCGGAACATCGCGTACAACTCTAACGTCGAGACTTTGGCAGATCTGACAATTTTCGCAGCAGAGAAAGATGCCGAGGTCAACGATGCCAAATCGTACAAGAGCGACCACGCTTGGCTTTTGTCCATCAAACATCGAATCGGAGTACTTGTTGAAGCAGCACGTCTTCGAACTTTGACCCAAAGTCTGGAAAACAATGAAACATTCTTAAGAGATGGACGTGGCCTGAGTCTCTTGAATCCCAATGCAGACTTAATGAAGAAACGGTCAATGAACGGTGAATTCAATCTGGGTTGCCATCGATCAATAAGGACATGCTCTTGCACCCACGCTTGTTTGTAGTCATCATGAACAGACAGACAAAGCGTAGAAAAGTCGAAATACCTGCCCAGCGAAGCCCAAATACGAATGGCCGGTTCAACTTGAACATATTGCTCACGGAGAACTTGCTTGAGTTTGGATTGTCGGTTGAATTCACGCTTCGAAATAGTAATTGAAGTACTTCCCACATACATCCATCGGTCTCTTTGCTTGAACGAAGAACGCGTACTCCAGGACACGGGGGCTTTCAAATAAACTGCACAAGGACTCTGGAACCGTGTGAACGTGTAATCAGACGGCGTGACTCCAGCTTTGCGCAATTTTTCAAGCAGCCGTTGTTCTGGCGAAGTACCCCTGGAGTAATGGAACAGTAGAATCAGATGACAAAAACCTTGCAACCAAATGGCCATCACTTTGTCCACATGCGGAATGAATTGAAGCACAAACGACATGAACTTGCCAACCTCTGTAATAAGAACATGTGCTGACCGAATCTCCTTTACGGAGAGTTGATTGGAAGCAAGGCTGTGTGCAATTCAGACAACCTGAAAGGCTGCCGCTGCAATGCACGTCGAGAGACTCTTGATGCCCATCCTAGATGCAAAAGTCGCCGAGATCCCGAATTTTACTGCAAGTTCTTGCAGTTTTGCTTTCTCCTTGCCTCCATAGTTGATCTGCACAAGCTTGGAGACAGACACAATGTGTTCTTGAAAATCGACAAAGCGCTTTCCTAGGGGTCGTTTGAAGCTCTGGATCCACTTGTCGACGTCCCCCTCTCCTGATCCCTTTAGTCGGGCTTTGTGATCGTTCAGGGCTTCGGCAGGAACACTGTCGATCTTACGCTTGAGGTCACTCTCCCAAGTCTGCGGTGGTGTCCCGGATTGTGGACACGGAGCACTAGATTGCGAGGCAACCGGGAGCTGTGTTTTCAAAGCGGGTTTCGTGGGGGTAACGGGAAGTCCTGCGGCTTGTAACTGTTCACGGCGGCGATTGAGCTCTTCCGTAACTTGAAGAAACTTCTGAGATTGATCGACGCCTGCAGACACCGGCATGTTGTCAAACATGAGCTGAACGATCTTGTCAACCATCGGCTGAAACAGAGCTGCACAATCCGTGTTCTTGTTGGGAATGATTGTAGATGAATTAGCGGCCTGAAAGAGATGCGTAGCAACTGCATCGATGTCAACTTTGCGATCTCGAAGGTTCTTCGTCACTTGCGACATGAACACTGCTTCGGCAACCGTAGCAACTGGCACAACACTGAAAAACTTGCCATGACTCAATGCTCGAAGACGCCAATCTGAAACTCCATGAAACAGGAATTCCTGAACAGGAATGCTGAGTGGGTCTTTTCCTGCGATCCCTTTCTTCCGCGACCACGGGGTGGCTTCGATGGACTTACGAAAGGACAACCCATGAAGCACCGTTGAATCATAATGATCACGATCTGACGCCCATCCATTCGGTAGTGCAGGAACAAGACCAGGACCTTGATGGCATGGGAGTAGACGGCGAAGATGAAGGTGCCGAAGAAAGAGGAGGCGGAGGTAGTGGAGGTGGCTGACTAGCAGGTGCAGACTTGGAGAGGTTGGGATCAGTCCAACTTCCCGAGCTATACGGCTGATAGCGGTGCTGACCCCACGATTGTTGGGACCTCCCGTACCCTGTGCTGGTGTCCCACTGCCCATTCCATGCCATGGTTTCAGATCTATCGACAAATCTGAGTGCGCGGAATCGCTAACGACACTTCGAATCAAAAGGCTCCGTAGGCAAACAAACCTGCTCAAGTTGCTGCCAAACTGCAACACTTGCACATCGCTTGCACAACTCTTGCATCACACTTGCAGTACACTTGCACGTCCCTTGCAACACACTTGCACGTCCCTTGCTGGCACAGCTCGCAATCTTAACTGGCATGTTTTCGACACATGTATACGTGCAAAGCAGGTGACAACGGAAGAGGCTTGAAAGCGTGGCCGGTCAAAGCAGCATGTTGCACTCAGACCCTCCAAAAAACAAGAAGCGCTTCCGGGATGAAACATGAAGAGCGAAAGACCCATCTGCCATCTTTGGCACGGGCAACATCACGAATGTAGCTGCAGGAATGGTCACCTTCAACCCCTCCCATGGGGATTCTTGAGTGGGGAGGCGTGAGGGATCCTTGACGATTAAATGCATGTCCGAAAATGCACACCGGACGCTCACTCAGAATGCCACCGTACTTGGCCGCTGCCTCTTGTGCTTGTTCTGCATCTGAAGTGTGAGCCCTAGCATAGAAGGAAATTGGTGGGGACCACTTGCTGTCACTGGCATCCCACCAAGATGGTCGGATCGCTCCCTCAAGGAGGATTGATGCAGCCGCTGCCACTGTTGTGTTGTGTGCAACAGGAGAACGAGCAATCCCTGCTGCAGAAGTATGCGACCTGATCATGGTCCTCTCAAAGTGGGTGAAGTGGATGCTCAAGCACTTGCACGAACTCGACAAAGAACGAAGCTCCACAGAATGAATGTTTGCGGCTTGGTCTGCTGCTGCAATTGCCTGAGAGACATACTTCAATGCTGTCGAATTGACAGAGTGGGGAGGAAGACCTAACAGGCTGATCAGATAGTCCGCCGTGCTTTGCATCAAAGAGCTGGGAACCTGCAACTCAAGATTGGCCTGTATCTTTGTCGAAATCTCACATGCCGATTTCATACGGCCAGGGCTGGAACTGATCAAGTGACGTAGAGCAGTAAACATGGGGTATAATGCGACCCAATTGAAGCTAGATGAGTACACGCGTATCAGCTTCGCTTCTTCATCGCGCACTTCCAACCCACGAAGTTCAGGAATCACGAAGAAGTTTGAATCTTGCTCCCACTCAACTTCCACATGCCCTTTGAGAAGAGATCGATTCTCAAAATGCTCATACGAGTCTTGCAAGGGTCTAACTCGAAAGACGTAAGTCTGGTCCGCACTGAGCTGCCACCCTACGCGATCTGCATGAGTACCAGGAATCTGATCACAAATTGCACGAAGTCGAATGCTGTTAGGGTCTGCAACGAGAGAAACTTCGCTTCCAGGAACTTGCCGAAGTCGCTTTGTTGGCTGGGACGAATCATCCGTTTGGTACGTGATGGCTGACTGCTGGCTCTGACCAGATGCTATTGACTGATTCTGTTGAGAAACAACAGACTGCTGAATGTCAAGCAAATTGTTAAGGTCAGCATACACATCTCTGTGGCCTCGGACATGTGTCAAGTTTGCCGACATGATCGCTGAGTATTCAGCGAAATCAGCCACCGAACGAAACGACAACCGGAAACCTGTGCCGTCTGCATGAAGAGTAATTGCAGGAGGAACCTCTTGCTGTAGAACCTGCCGATCATTTACGGCACGTGCAGCAATCAAGGTAGGAGTTACATCTGTAGTTCCCGCTCCAACATTGGATGCAGAAGGGACCGGCAAAGAAGAAGATGAAGCAGGCGCCGGGCAAACTGCAAGAGTGGGGGGTGGAGGGGGGAAGGCGGGAGGGGGAAGGGGAGGGGGGGGTGGAATCCACTTCGCTGTGGTACCACGGGCGGGGGCAGGGGCAGAAGCGGGGAGGGGAGGGGGAGGCACAGGGAGAAGGGGAAAGGAGGAGGGTGGAGGGGGAGGAGGGGGAGGAGGGGGGGGGGTTGATGTGCGGGTACTGCGTCTCTTTCCTGAAGCATCCATGGCAAACTAATCAGCAACTACCCAGAAGTACAGCTCAGGTACTCAATCTGTAGCCAAAGACCTGCGACAAGTCAGCGAAAAAGTCAGATTCGGGAAAGTCGATTTGATCATAGACAGTCAATGGAAAAGTCAGCATTCAGGTTTCGGTAGAAGCATTCGGTGAAGACTCACTGAGAAAGTCAGCTTGCAAGCACGGATATAGAATCAGGGAAAGTCATCCAATGCTTATACAACACACACACACATGCATGCGCGCGCAAACCGACAACAAAACGTAGCCTCGTCCTCCTCAGGTGCCTCAGCCAGAGGGATTCCTCTTGCCGCTGCATGATTCACAGCGAAGGATTTTCTGTTCTTCGTGCAATCACGTCCACTTCGATGCTTCGTTCTCGCAACGAAGAGTCGCGTCGAGCCGCAGGACCGTTTGGTGGATGGCCTCGCGCGAGGGCATCGCAGTTCCCGGATTTGCCGAGACAGAGACTGGGACAAACTGATCCAGCGTTTGTCGGCTTGAGCCTGCGGAGGGGTATACGGCGCACGGCACACTTGTGTGCGTGTGAGTCTCGCTGCTGTGAAGGACACGGCTTTCGCAGGCTTCGTTTCAGTGCAGAGGTTGAGCCGCCGCCTTGGGAAGTCTGCTGCTTCGATGCATCGAAGAGGCATCTAGGAATCCAGGGCCTGGCGGCCTGGCAGTTTGGGTATGTGACAGGGCTCGCTGCCTGGTCCTGATGATTCGGGTTCGCCTGAGGACGTACGTGTGCAGCTCAAGGCGCTCAAGGGAGAAAACATTTGGTGGATGCGTGAGTGTTTTATTTCTACTCCCTGCAGCTCGAGCGCTACTTCTCACGCGCGAAAGGCGGACTGCTGGCAGATGCCGCGGCTTTGATGCAAGTTGAGAAGCGGTACGACAGACTCTGACTCTAGCCAGTGGGTGCAGTATTACGGAGGTCGGCTATGGCAAGACTGCGTCTGTTCTGGCCTTGATAGCGTTGTCACGACCAACTTCCCCAGCGAAGCCACCGACTGATCAAGCACCACGCATCGGCTCCCGTGCCTTGGTGAAGGGAGCTCTGGTCACAAAAATAACAACTTGGCTGTCGCATAACAGTGTGAGCTGCATGAAGCCGAGCTTACTTCATGAACATGTTAGCTTGAAGGGGGCTCTGGCTCTGGCCAGGTGCTACGCTCGTGCTGGTTCCGTCCAACCTGTTTCTGGCAGCACCAGACATGAATGCATTAAAAAGATCAACAAGAGACCTGACTCCTGGCATTTTTTGCTTGTTTCGTGGCTGGTTGAGGTTTGAGCAATGGCAGAACGAGATCAAAAAGTTCCTAACCGAGAGCACCAAGGCGGCATGGCGTGACCCAACAGCTTGTCACTCTGTCTGTCTATTCTGTGAAGCTGACACCTCTGAAGCACGTCACCAGAGTAATGCCGTGTCAGCCCGACTGGTCTAGTACCGAGGTTTCCACAATGCATTCCTAAGCAACCCGAAAGCTTTACCAACTCCATGCAGCGTCGGAAAGCATTCAGCTGTGGGGCTTTCCCCTATGCAGGTTGTGTCCATTGCTACGATCCCTGACCTTCGGAAAGCGACGGTCGGACAGCTGCAATCAGCAGAATCTTGGAGAGAACTTTCTTTTGGGCGAACTTCACTAGCGAACTTCGGTGTACATCATGACAAGCACCGATCTCAGCGGACGAAGTGTTCAATGTGGTACCAATCGGCGAGCTCCTGTAGGCCCATGTCGAGCACAGGGCAGCCCATACACTGAAAGTGGACAAGCCAAGGAGGCCATTGTAGTCTCGAACAAGTTGTGCATTTTTTGATTCCCAGTGAAATGTGTGATGCAACATACCAGGAGTTTTGGCAACCCAGCGGTGACAACCAGCATTTATTGATTCCCAGGTGCACACGAACTCGTCGGAGAGTCAGCGCATGCTAGCATTGTGTCCCGAAGGTCTGAGCCCAGCCCCCTATCTATATTTCTTACGTCAAAATCCGAGAAACGGCTTGTGTCCGACATGATCGTGTTTTGGGAGTCGGCTAAGCGCAAGGCGCCTGCGTCTTCCGAACAGGTGCTAGTAGTGCGTCAGTCGGATTGTGAGTTCGGTGTTTACGACTTCCATGCGGCTGCAGGTAACGATCATCCCCCAAAAAAGCTGCGTGTGCCTTGTGAAACAAGAGACGCCGTCTGATGCAGACGCCTCAAACATCATCCTGCGCTTGAAGCAGTTGGGACATCGCAAACTTAGCAAAATGTGTGTGATGACACTTAAAGGCCCTATGAGTGCCACCGCGCGTATCTTGCTAGGTTTGTGGCCCAATTCCTCTAGGCAGTCTGGGGTTGCACCTGGGTGAAGTCCTATGTCAGGCGGACTTGCCAGCAGTGGATGTCAGGGCCACTCATTGACTTCGGACAAGATGAAGATGAGTATTGCGAGTTGCTTTGCATGGCTGTCTCTTGTCGGGAGTCCACCGGCACCGAGCAGCTTCGGCGGCTTGGCCGGCCAAGGATGTGTCACGATGTGTCACGGGAAGCCCCAGATTGAAGATGTTCCGATGGAGCTCTTGAACCCTGCCGTTTGAAGAGGCGAAGCGGTGCAAACCAGACTGGTGAGAGGTGCAGCCCGGAATCCACCTTCATGGTGAGGACTGCAATCCCGCGAGTTCGGAGACCTCGTTCTCGCGCAAGAAAGCAAGAGTTGGCTGCCAGAGCCAGGGCTCGTTCGTGTTGAGCCAACGCCAGTCACTGTCCTTTTTCTTCCCAAACCTTAAGCCGAGAAGCCAAGCACTTTGTTTGTTCACATCTACTCATGCACGTTCGTCTTTGTACTCGCATATTCTTCTCGTCAGTTCTGATTTGGCAACTCGCGGAACACAAATGGCAGCTCAGGACATTGTGCTGGTCAGCTGCCGTTTGTTGGTCTCCAAGAAATACGAGGCGCGGTGCAGGAGCATTCGACACGACACGAGGGTATCTCGCAATGACATGCAAAGGAGCATTTGGATGCATTGTCCGGTCTTCCGGTGACCCGTGAGACTGCTGCCTAACTGCAAGTTTAGTTTTGTAGTGCCGTTTTCCTCTTGCACTTTGACATTGCGCAGAAATTGGCCGAAAAACGTTTGAAGGTGTGGAGCGACATCATCATGAACATATTTCCTAAGACTGCATGTTGAGAGCAACATCAAGGCTTCTGAAGTTCGCAACTGTTTGCGAATGACAATTAGGTTATCAGTGGTCAGAAGCTCTTCGACGATGCGATGCGGAAGTGGAGCATGCAGAAAATGCGTCATGACCATGAAAGGCCGCTCTGAGCAAACCGGTCTTCGTCAGCCATTGCACGTGACATGTTGACTTAGGGCGCTCCGCCAGATGGGAATGCAGATGGACCTTCCAGGCGGCCTGCAGGTGCGATGCCCAAGGAAGATCCAGCAATCGGAAGAAGTGAAGCGAAGCATATCTGCTTTGCAGATGACAAGGTTCGAACACCAGATCCTGGACCTCAGCCGCAGCTGTCGGCATTCAAGGAGCAAGAGCACCATAGAGTTCATAAAGCCATAACTCGCATCCAGGCAAGGTTTGCAGATGTTTGCAGTGTACTTGAGGAGAAAGTTGAGACCAAGCCGCCTGGAAAAAGGTTTCCTGCCCTTGCGATCCCGTTCAGGGATTGGCTTTCCCGAGGCGATGCGAGGCCACGGCCGAGCGCTTCTGCCGGCGCCGGGAGGGCCTTCTCGAGCGCACGAAGCAGCTACTAGAGCTGGGCCAGGCCGGCCAGATCATTCCACGGCCACGAGGATGTTTAGGTGGCGGCATTTCCGGAGGATTTGGAAGATCTCGCAGGGCCTCCCCTCGAGATCTTCTTCTGGCACCGCTTTCGCCTCAGCTAGTGCCCCCTTCCACTCACGGCTGAGCAAGGGTTAGTCTCGACCGTTAAAGGATGACAAGGTCTTTGGGCCTAGGAGGACGACTCGCCTTCCATTCTTGCTCTGCAAACAAGGCTTGGTGGTCGACGAGCTTCACGAGCCTCTTCGTGTGCTTGGGAAGCCGAAGGGCCGAAGTCAGGCTTAGTCGGAAGTGGGACGTGGAGCGAAAAGGGATCGGCGAGCAAGTTCTCTGTGTTCTGCGTGCATCAGGACAGCTCGTGTGTACAAGAGTTGAATGCGTGTGAGGATCTCAGAAACATGCGCTTCTATGGGGGCATCCCAGGTGCTGCGGGATGCCGCTGGCCTCCGCCAAGAGGGGCCCGGCCAGGGAATGGGCTGGCGGGCCTTGTCCGGTGATGCCCGGAGTCTGCTTCCTGCATGCGTTTCACCGCACCGACAGTCTGCTGCGTTTTGTCGTCTGCCCAAGCTTCAGGTTTCACAATCTGGATGGGCTAGAGGCACGAAGCCGCTGGGGTCTGACAGCGACTCCTCCAACGAACAGTGCTGCGGAAGTTTCCTTCCTGGTGCCTGGTCTGTTACGTGTGGTTCCTGTGGTGCAAAGGTGCGGCGTGCTGCGCCTATGTCAAGATGCGCTCAGGCGAGTTTCCACCGCGTGTTCGTGCCACGAGACAGTGATCTGGAAGCGCAGCTCCGGACTGAGAGTCCGTTGAAAAAGTTGGACTCGAGGACCTACCTAACCAAGGCATTACCTTGACGAATACCTCCGCTCCAATGGCCTCGATGTCTCTGGGATACCGATCACATATCACCTGATCCCCGTCCGTCCCACAGGCACCATACTCTCGTTTTCCCGGTAAATCACACGAGTTTGGAATGACATGAACTGGGGGCTTCGATTGACATGCTCCGCAGAAAGCATCGGCGCACAGGAATCTCAGACTGCTCGAGCCACGTTTCCATGATTCGATGATGTCGCCAGCTTGACTCGCGCACGAGTATGTCGAGCGGAGGCGGCGAGAGAGCGCTTTACCTCAACGCTTGCTTTGACAAGGGCAACTTCCAGGCGTCCGGGGTGACCGGTGAATGTGCACAGCTTTCTTCCTGCCGTATTTTGCCACGTTCAGAAAAATCACAAGCGTGACGTCGCAGTCACTGCATCGGCGTGTTTAGGTACAATCGCTGATGCTCTCTTGCACACCTTGTCTTGATCGTCCAGGCACTTCTTCAGTTGTGCAACTACTTCTCGCCAGACGGCACTGATGCAGCAAGTCGTCTGCACTTGGCACATCGGTGTGACAAAACGCGGCCCTATAAATTCCAGGACGTGGCATCTGCAATCAGCTCCACTCGCGAAGGCAATCGATGTGCCTTAGAAAGGCATCGCTCGGCGCAGGGCTTAGCCCCAAAGCACTGCCACAGAGATGCGGACTGCGCCTGTCCTTAGGACATGGAGAGGGCGGAAGATGAAATCCACCGGCTCCAAACCGAAGAGTCTCAAGGCTTCCCAGCTGCGCGAGACGAGGAGGACCTCAAGAAGCGCAAGGCCGCGACTGGAGGTCTTCTTCGCACCCTGTGAGCACCTGTGAGTCATGGAGGCCAAGCTGAAGCGTCTCTTGGATGCCCAGCCCGCACAACGCGAGAAAGAACGCCTGCTGGAGAGCCGCGTGAAATACTTCGAGGAAGTTCTTCAACACCTGGAGAAGTTGGAGCAGGCTGTCACTCTCCTGAGAGATCTTGCCGGGCGGCTTGTGTCTGCACTGCTTGTCAGGACAATCTCGACTGCCCAATCTGCATGGGCACTATCGAGACGCGAGATTGTCAAGTGACGGCCTGCGGCCACCTCTTCTGCAACTTCGGCTGCCACAGAGTCACAGAGAGTGCGAGCAGATTCCGCTCGGCGAGCGGCGCTGAGGCAAGGAGTGCATCATCAGCGCCTCGGCCTGACTCTGACTGTGCGAACTGCGATCTCTCACAAGCAGTAATCAGAACCTTGCAATGGTACCGAAATTCTGGCCTTGCAGCGAAGATGTCAGTGGATTTGGGGCTTCTGCCGACCGTTTCCACATTGATAGCCTGGGACCGGGACCGTCTTTGCTTTTCTTGGTGTTTTCCAGGCTGGCTAGGCAAGCGGGGCAAGTGCCCAACCTGCAACACGCAGCTGCAACTGCCCTCCGGGGTCGCTTCAGCAGAAGATGTGCTGTCACGGCAGAAGGCCAGCATGTAACCAAGGGAGGGACACGAAGTCGAATTCCGCGCATGTTGTGCAAAAGGGCGGTGTTTTCAGAACATGATTCTGTTCTGGCCTGTTGAAGCCTTTTGACTGGCTCAGCATATCGTGCACGATACATTGGCCAAGATGAACACTGCAAGCGGATGCAAGCGGTGCGGCGGTGGGGTTTTCTTGCAGGAAGCCGCCTCCAAGGGCCGCATTGCACGCTTTGGATCCAAGATCGAGGCGTACCGGCGCGGGGGGGCCGCAGGCCGCGCTTGCCGGGCTCGCCCAGAGTGTCAAAAGCTTTTGACAGGCTGTGTGCACCCAGCTCAATAGCATCTGGAGCGGCGAGCCCGGGGCGAAGGTCATCATCTTTGTTCAGTTTGAGGTCTTGTTGAAGAGTCTCGCTTGAACTTTGAACAGCCGTGCATGGTGCGGTGCAAACCCTGACACTGTCGAACTTCCCTAGCTGAGTGCCCTGAGCAGGGCATGTGACATGTGGCTCCGACCAGTCAGCAGGCAGTGGTGGGAAGGAGTCACGAGTCCATGCCCCGTTCTGCTCTCCTCCAGCTCAGACCCGTCATCTTCTGCAGCTCCGCCTATTTCCGGCAGCAAAGTCACGAAACCTACGGCAATCACATTGCAGCAATCATGTTCGCAGCCACAAGGGTTCCAACGAAGCATGCTTTCTTTCCGATCTCTTCTGGGCCTTCTGTTGCTCAATGCCTCCGAAACGGTGTCAGATCGGTACCGAGCTTCTTCCAGTTTGAAAGGACTCGTCAGTGTTTCCGGCAAGGAAGATGGAGCACGCCCTCGCGGAGCTCGGCATGCCGTGCCTGACCTTGAAGGGCACGGTCTTTGAGCGTCGGCGGGTGATTCGGCGTTTCCACGCCGAGGGGCCACTTGGACAGAGGATGTAACGTTTCCTGACCACCCAGGACAGAGCGAACAGTGACCAAGCATAATTTTGTGACTGTCCTTTGATCGTTGTCAGTTGGGGCTGTTAAGCTGGTGCTTTGACGAAGGAAGGAGAACGAGATCTTATTGCTCTCGTTGGAAAGAAGTCCATCTGGTATGAATCTGGTTTGTTCCAGCCTCAGGTGTCGTCCAAGGCAGCTGAAGCCGGCACCGATTGCAGGATGCTCTCCCCAGTTGTGGATGCTGAGGCTGCCACCACCTGCTGCTGGTTCACCCGATGGCTGCCGAGAGCCGGGACGCTGCTTTGAGCTTCGAGCGCCAGGCGGGAATCGACCCCAAGGCTTAGGTCGTAGTTGGCCCACACTGCCTACCAAGGCGATTGGCCGCGTGAGGCGACAGGGCCAGAAACACGACGTTCATGTGTCCCTTGCCTGCCACGGTGCCGGGGCCGGGGTCGAAAGGCCACATGTACCCTGGACACGCGAGGCCTTTACATGCCGCCCTCAGAACCTCAGAACTGCAGGTACCGGTTCTACGTGCGCGAGACAATGGAGGCGCTGCGTTCACGCGTCTCATAGCAACATCACAATGGTGCGGATGTGTGCCAAGCTAAGATGATGCTGACGTTGCCAGGAGGACATGGTGCACAAGCACCATCAAGAGTTGCTAAATGGCAAGGACCCGCCCAAGAATGGGGAGGGCGCAGATGCCACAGGCGGCGGCAACGAGACGTCCAGGCCTTCCGATCTGGAGGAGAACCTTCGGCATACTCGGCCATGACCGTACATGTGGCGTCGGCAGGCCTTCCGAAAGCCAAGCTTCCTGATTGGATTTGCTACATCCGCTTTCGTCGACGTCTCCTTCAGGCCTCATGGATTTCTTTAGGATGGCCCAGTGGAAGACTCAGATGGAGTAACTCGCTTCGCAGCCCGAAAGGTCTCCTGAGGCGGAAGGGGCATGGTGGCTCTCCGCTTCAGGGCGATGGTGCAGCGCTGTTAGGCGTCGGCACCCGACAACGTGCAGCTCGGGCAGTGCTCGAGTCGCTACTGGACAGGAGGTATCTCCGATACTCCGCAGTTGGCGATAGTTAGTGCAGAGCTGTCCAATGTGGCAGCACTTGATCCAACTCGGTCACGCGGGTGAGATGGGCCACAACAGGTGCAATCCCTCGAATCAGTCAAAGGATGAACCACCCCGTTTCTGGATGTAAGGCTCCGTACACACCGCGACGAGCTTTGGTGGGGATGTGGGGGCCTGCTGTCCACGGCAAGTAGGCCACTGACGACATGCACGAGCCCACAGATATCACCTTATGCTCCACAGGCAGTAGCTTCAGATGGGTAAGCTTCGCGGCTACTGTCTTGGCGCTCGAGCATGTCGTTCATTCGAGCCGAATGATGTCGTCGAACATGTCAAGCAACAGGCATTTTCCTTTTAGTGGCCTTGATTGCTTTCAACTTACGACTTACAACATGGGAAGGGGCAATTCAAAAAGGTTTGGTGCTGCATTGCCGCTTCGTGCCCTGTGCCAGTGCCCTCACTACTCCGAAGATCTTCCGGGCTTCGTTCAGGCCGTTTTGCAGGCATTGATGACGCCGCTTGAAGTTCAAGCCCAAGCAGAAGCGGAAGTCTCAGCTTCTCATCTGCAGAGCTCGCAGTTCCGTGACACGAGTCCAAGGTCATCCAATTTCATGCAGTTCCACTGCGGAGATCCACTTTCCAGCAGTATCCAAGGAATCTCATTGTCGTGGAAGTGGTCGGGTCGGCATTAGGTTTCAGGAAATTTGCTGGAGCGGGGCAAGGTTATGTGAGCCTAGCTTCGGGATGTTTCTGCGTGGCCCATCTCGCAGTACCACCGCCCTCGAACTTCTCCAGAGTTTGGTGAAGTTGCTGAGGCCCAAAGCCGTCACAGAAAGTGAGATTTCTTGAAGAGTGATTCGAAGCTTGGCTCTGATGCTTTGTCCCAGGGACCTGGAGCTGACTGAGACGCAGGCCTGGGGACTCCGTGCTGGGTGTTCTGCGAAGCTCTGCGGCGCTCTTCGGCCCTAGCCTTTAGGCTCATCGAGCAACGCTGGTGACCTTCGTGCAGCTCTCAGCTTGTGGCGCTTCAGGTCCAAGCACGTCATCCGAGATTCATGTCCCAGAGCGGCAGGATGTTTTCAATCAGGTGGCACAGTCTGCATCCAGCTGTATGTCTGCTGACCTGAGGCATTCACCCAGCTTTGCTTCTACACTCCCTTGCACTGGGCAATGGAGGCAGCATAACTACCCCATATTTGATGTCTTGCTTAAATGTTCACATGTACCAGTTCAAAAAGTCGCATCCGGTTTCCGAGGCTTCCCCTGTCCTGTGCTGCGCCCGTCTGTGCCAGGCATCACTGAACACTTTTACGACAAGGCTTGGGATTGATGCAGCGCGGCTTCGAGCTTTGCAGGACTTGGTGGGCGGGTCCGGCGATTGCTCTTGACTAATCGAACGGTGCCTTGGTGGTCAGAGGAGATCATGCCATCGCAGCTGGACGAGGTGGGTGCTCGAGACCCCCCTGCTAGAAGTGCAGGCAACAGGTTGTGTAGACTCTGTAGACAACAGATTCGATGCAGCGATGATGTGCTGTGACGAAGGCAGTGCAGGAGTGGCCTCACTGTCGGGATCTTAGAAAAACTCTGCAGTTTTTGGTCCTTGGATGTTGTGTGCTTCCTAGAGTCGGTCTCAGGCCGGCTCTCGGTGCACGGAGAGGTCCTGCTGTTGGAAGCGATGCTCGAAAGCCAGGCACGGTGCATGGACACCACTGGCAGAGATCCCTGGCGTCTTTTGCCACGTTCAGCTTTGCAGGTCTTCTCCTTTCTTCGCTTGGATGGCTCGTGGACTGCACTGGGCTGGGATCTGCGAAATTGCCGCGGAATCTGACTGAGGCAAGAAGGGTGCATGTGTGTAGCTGCCACCATTTCTGCCGCAGGATGCTCTGGGCAAATTCCTTGCATGCGGCCGTTGGACTCTGAGTCAAGCTACGGATCGCATATGCAGGGAGCCAGCGCGCTTGGGAGGACAAGTCAAACCAGTTTTTGCTTCATAAATGTGCCCACTCGGACTGGAACATGGAGTGATCCAAACCAGGTTTCGTTCATCGTCAACCGAAGTAGTTTCGGTCGGTGGCTCCTTGCAATTGCTTTTGGAAAGCGTCGCAGTGGGGCCCGGGAAACCGTGTGCGCACTTTGAGTGGACTTTGGGCCACGGAGACGGAGGGTTGGAAACATCAATTCTGGGCACCCTGGAAGCGCCTCGCCACAGTGTTCAGCTCTTCGCCAACCGAGCCGCTGTTGCTCGTATTGATGGCTTGGTGCAGCCACCACATCGCAGCTTATTCATCTTCAGGTTTGTTTGATTCCAAACGCTGTTTCGGGTGGGTGTGCATGGTGTGTGTGTGTGTGTGAGTACAAGCGAATTCCGAATGTGAGGCTCTGACGGACAGCAGCCAAGTCATGACCTTAGCGTGATGTCGGCTTAGGAACGTCCCTGCGAGTCCGAGTCTGTCTGTTGTGTTAATGATAGTCGCTTTGCTTTATGTACGTTTCGGTCGAGCCAACTGCTTTGGTCTGCTCTCAAGTTTATAGAGAGGTTCATGCTTGATGGCCAAGGTCCGATCATACTTCGGCATGCAGTGACTGCTTCAATGACCCGAGAAGCAAGATGGCCGGGGGAAAGCGGAATTTCATCTACCATGGTTTCATGATCGCAGCTCGTGCTCTTGCAGTGCAGCAACGTAGTGGCAATGCGCTAGCCAACACGGCCAGCCGGGAGTGCAACATGCGCCTCAGTTCCGCAAAAGCAGCTCCGTATTCCGGAGCTCACAATCTGTCATTTTGGTTTGAGCGCATGGCAGCACGATCTTTTGGGTCGTTCAGTATGGGGTTGAGCGATTTCGTTAAGCTAAGGAGGCCGTGCTCGAAATCCGCGACTTCTCGCCACAAAATATGCACACTCGCGCAGATGTCTCCCTCCCTCCTCCCTCTCCGTTCCTCTCCCTCAAAAGCAATCATCCCATGGCAGTTCTTGCCTGCTTGAGAGCTGTACGCACTCGCCCATGCCTTCAAGCCGCCTATTGGGACCTGATCCACCTACACAGCATTTCGGCAGAGAGTTCTTCAGCCGTTCAGCCCCACCAGGCCCCACCACATGATGGGGGCACGATGCCCTCAGGTTTGGCCTCATAGCAGCCCCGTCTCTGAAGTGATTCCTGCTGTGGATTCACAGTCACCGAGACAACAACGGCTTGGCGCTTGCCTGTCGCTCGCTGAGTCGATGTCCCGCGTGTGAGTGATCGTGAAGTGCTGCCACGTTACACAACATCCCAAAAATACCTCCGAACATGCAACCATGGCTCCATGATCGTCGAATATGTCCGGACTAATACTCTATCCTCTCCTCCCTGAAGCTCGCAGGGCACGAACTTTTTTCAATCAACACAGGTTGGCTGAAATGGGAGGGACATGTTGCTATGACCGTTTCCTTGGAGATCGCAGCATTCCAAGCAGCACGGATTCGGAACAGCATTCTGGTGAAACTTCACCCAAGCTTGTTTTCCGTCACGTGTTCTCGTGCCCGGCACCGTCGGCCTGCGGCTCAAGTTGTCTAGTTACGGTGCCCATGCCGCTTTCTTAAGTGCCTCGGCTCCGACATGCCAATGCCGCCGGTTCCGGCAAACGATGGCGACAATCCAGCGGAGTCTCGGCTTGCAGACTCAGACGTCAGACGCTATGGTTATTCACATTCTTACGCTAGCGTTGCTCTTGGCTTCCGCTCATCGCATGGCCAAGGTGGAAGTATCGGGCACGGGCGGCTCTTCTGGTGCTTTCTCTAGCACGGTAAAGCTGAGGACACAGCTTCGAACGCCATTGTGCCCTCAAGCTGAATTCTCCCGCCTCTCACAACGGCTATCAGGCCCATTTGCACGAACTTGCAGGACTGAGGAAGGAAAGCTCATCGAGATCGATTCCTTGCAAATGCCAACGGGTGTCAAGAAGGTCCTGCACGAGCTGGATCTTGACAGTACAGGCTGGCATCAAACTCGAGCTGCCGCAAGCCAAGGTTTAAGAAGCCTTAGGTTCTCCGAAGTCCGAAGCGTTCAGTAGTCAGCAGACATGTTGCTTCGAGGATCATATGCTGCACAATCGGGTAACTAGGACAAGACAATAGGCCAGGGACAAGTCAAGCGACCTATGTGCCAAGAAAGATTGCGCTCCTAGTTCTCTTGTTCGTGCGTGCATGCGTGCGTGCGTGTGTGCGCACGTGTGTGCGTGCGCGTGTGTGCGTGTGTGCGTGTGTGCGTGTGTGTGTGTGTGTGTGTGTGTGACACCCTGATAACAAAGGGTACAAGCAGGGGGCCCGGAGAGCCCGAGTGAGGTCCGGGCCAACGAAGACCCTCACTCGGTGCTCGTGTAAACGTACCTGCAGCAGTCATGAATTGTTTAATTAATTGTTCCAAGTGATGGTAACCCCTGTCTAGCTACTCTCGCAAGAGAGTTTGCAAGTGTGTTCTCGACCGGCATTCTGTCAAAGGGCCGGGCGTAGCAACTGCTTGACTTCTTGATACAACTGTTCAAGACATTGAACGCCGCTTCTTGATTCGCAGCTTCTTGATTCGACAAATCCTCGAACGCTGCTGATAAATTGAATGACTTCTTGATTCTTTTCCACTTGATTGACTTCTTGAATGACTTCTTGAATGTCTTCCTGAATGATTTCTTGAATGATTCCTTGATCGACGCATTGCAAGAGGCCAGGACCCAAGCCTCAATGGGGCAGGACCCTTACCCCAGACGACGCATTTTTTCAAAAAAAGTGCCAAAATGCGGCACTTTTGTGAGTATATCTTCGACCAGCGCAAAGAATTTCAGCTGTCGGTCGGCAAGCACCGCAGGGCTGCGGCATTTCGGTAAGACCTGCGAAGTGTGGATGTTTGACCGTATTAATAGGACATGCGCTGCAGGGCTGCGGCTTTCTGTTAGACCTGCGAACTGCGAGCACAGTCCTCTAACGGGGTTTGAAGTGCCCAATGTGGGCCACCCCTTACCTTTTCTTTTTCCGCATGTGTCGTTTCGCAGTCACAGTTTTTTCTTTTTCAATGCTCGAAGCCAGAGGCTTTTCCAAGCCAAAAAGGCTGCCTCCAGCTGCAGCTCCTTTACTTTTGGCTTACGTTGCTGTTTCGCTTTAAGGCTACACAGCCAACCGCCCGCCTTCCTGCAAAGCCTTTGTGTTTTCCTTTTCCTTTTTCTTTTTCCGCTTCCCTAATGCAAAGCAAGGGCCGAGCATAAAAACATGTATTATTTGAATGATTCGATACTTCTGTATCGGCATAAGGCCAGGACCCAAGCCTTAACAAAACAAGGGGCAGGACCCGTACCCCTGACGACAACACGTGAGGCCAGGACCCAAGCCTCAATGGGGCAGGACCCGTACCCCCGATGACGCTTTTTTCAAGGGCACCATGTCGTGGCTGCGGCTTTGACTTGCGAAACGTCATGGTGAGCCCAAACCAAGCAGGCATCAGATGGGGCTGCGGCATTGACCTGCGAACCATCTGATGACCTTCATGTTTCCACTACTCCCCAAAACTGGGGAGTAGGTGTGTGTGTGACACCCTGATAACAAAGGGTACAAGCAGGGGGCCCGGAGAGCCCGAGTGAGGTCCGGGCCAACGAAGACCTTCACTCGGTGCTCGTGTAAACGTACCTGCAGCAGTCATGAATTGTTTAATTGTTCCAAGTGATGGTAACCCCTGTCTAGCTACTCCCGCAAGAGAGTTTGCAAGTGTGTGTGTGTGTGTGTGTGTCTGTGTGTGTGTGTGTGTGTCTGTGTCTGTGTGTGCCTGTGTGTCCAGCCCGGTGTGGAAGGGCCAGGTAGCTGCTGTTTCAGTTCGAGCTGCTTTGTGAAGTCCTCTGTGAACTCGCTGCTGTGCCCGAGGGCAGTCCATCAGCCTTTGGTTAAGAAGCCAGTTCTGTCAACAGGAATCGTGGATGAGAAGAATCTCGAAGACTCACTCCGGCACATGGCTCAGTCATCCCACTGACGACGGGGTAGCTTCATGGCGAGAGTTTCCCCATTCATGCACGTGCTGGCTTTTGATTTCGTAATTCCGCCAGGTGTCTGAAGCACTTGAAGAACGGCCTGGACACGGATGGAAGTGGTCATGTCAGCAATCAAGATGCCCTGCCGCAGAAGTATTTTGTCTTCTTTGTAGAAGTTGCACACATGTGCATTTTGCGATTGGCACTCGCACAGGAGATGGAGGACGGAGTTGCGCTGCTGACCAAGCTGATGTCATCCGGCAGCTGTCGGAATATCCGTGTCTTCTGTGTTGTTACGTGCAGAGACAGATGCTAGGATAAGTCTTCCTGCGAGGTCATGTAAGGTATGGGGTTTATCAGTTATCAGTTATCTGTGACTACACGCAGGACATACATCTGCTACCAGGAGGGTTGAGGTAGCTCTGTGCCTAGCCATGCGGGCAGTTGCACAGGAAGTGTTTCAACAAAGCGTGTTGCTTGCATGTTGCTTGCATGAGGGGGTCGGATGCAGCACTCGAGTTGTATCATTGATCTGCAGCTTGGAGAAGGGTTTTGTCCCACCGTGTGGGTCTGTGCCCTTGTGCCGCCACGTGTTTCTTCTGTCGCCTCAGGAAGGAGAAGTCTCTCAATTCGACAGAGATGCCATACAAGCACCTACCAGACTGCATTCAGGACGAGGGCCTGTGTGTACCAAGCTGAAGCCACTCCGGCCTGCACATCGGGAGCACTAGACGATATCAAGCTTATCAAAGGTTTGGGTGCATGCATGACTTGTCGGTCTCGCAGGAAGTGATGCGCGAATGGGATGCTGATGGCAGTGGCATGGTGGGTGTTTCCGAGCTGTCTGCCGCAGCAACCGCATACAAGAAGGCTCGCTGCCTGAATCAATCATTCGCACTATGTTGCCGAGACGATCATGGTGGTGCGATCTTGATTCGATTAACGGCTCGCAGGTTCAGCAGGAGGGTCGCATGATGAGAAAGATCATTCTGGGAACCTCAACTGCAGTTGGATCTCTTGCAAGACCTTGGTCTTGCAACAGCCAGTCCTGGTAAGGTCTGCGAAGGCAAGTTCATGTTCTCAGGTTTTGTCGTCTCCCCATGTCCTGTGTTGCCGGCGCATGCCAACCTCCCCGACATGTGGCAGAACGGCAGATGAAGCGCAGGATTGAGCATGGTTATCCTCCTGTTGATGATCGGCATGTTCATTCTGTCCTGGGCAGCTGCTGAAATGGCAAAGGCCAGACACAGAGAGAGAGAGAGAGAGAGAGCGCGCGGTGTAGGGGGTCAAACCCCTACACACTAGCCCTGGCGAAAGAAAGAGGTGCTTTCGTTGCTCCTGTGCTTGAGTTGGATGTTCGCCTGCCTGAGACCTGAGTCAGGAGATGCGAGGTGATGGGGATGCTATCATGGCGAACTCCCAGGGCATGGTTGTGAAGGCAGGAAGTAGCAACTCGAATCGATGTTGTTTCCATATACACTTATCGATGTGGCAACTTTTGCTTGCAGGTGGCAAGTTCAGACTTCGAGATGGCCCCTGATGGAACGCTAATCATTCGAGGAGCAGGGTCAGTCAATGTGACCGGGATCGCAACTAGCACTTTGATATGCTTTGCAGTGCTTTGCAGCGGGCTTCCAGGCGACATGTCCGGAAAATCAGACGTGCCGACGACTGGAGAGCTCTGCAAGTAAGCTCCAAGTTGCAAACTCGGAGACGCCTCGGCGCTTGCCCACTGCTCAGTCAATGCCGATGAAGTTGAGCATTTATGAAAATTTAGCTGGGGGCACTTTCTGAGGTCCTCTACACTTCCAGACGCTTCCTTCAAAGAGCTGCGGCTTTGATGCAAAGCATCATGCGAAAAAATTCACTTTGAGTGATCCCCAACCTTCAAATCCCCATCGGTCAAGGAATGACTCGCACCACGACCATCCCCGACCCTGCTGCTGTTGAAGCAAGGAAGTCTTTGACGCTTAAAGACAACTTGGGCCACGCACTGAAGGTCTGACACTTAGACTTGGCGACAGATCTGATGCCTCATGCTCGTCGATATGGTCCTTATCACTGACCAGAAGTGGGCTTTGAGGTCTCCATTACCAGCTGGCAGCGTCTCTCTCTGCGCTCTTCCAAGTGCGGTTCGGTGATTCATTTGAATGGCGACCATGGCACCTTAACCTTGGATGACTATGTCCCGGCCTCAGTCTCAGGGCCAGAGGCGAGGAGCACACACCAGAAAAGATACGTGAGCACAGCCCGTAAATCCGGGCTCATGCTTCGCCAGGACATGACAGCCGACGCCCAGATGGAGGCAACTCGTCACATCATACCACATCACTCCGCAAATCTCAGAACCACTTTGGAAAAGTTTCAAGGCACGTTGACCTGCCAGGGCTACGTCAAGGATGCAGGCATGGAGGGACTCTTCGAGGACCCACAGCCCGGCAATTTCCGGCATGCGCTTCGCTTTGTAGGTATTTCCTTGTGGGGTTTTTGCAGGACGGACCCATCTCTGGGTTTGGGCGTCGGCTCAGCTCCACCGACGGCCTTCTCGAGGGCTTCTTCAACATGAGCCCTGGCCGTACATGGGATTCTGTGCAGGGTGCCTTTTGACCATGTTGGGTTGCCTGCAAGGCTTGAAGACATTGAGTGGGCATGCGAGTCCGTTGACTTGCCGAATCCCAACGACATGCCTCAGTTCTACTATGACGCCTGCCACGCAATGAGACATTGCAGCTTTCAAGCAGGATCTAGGCGCCAGATCATCGATCCCCTTCATGAATGTATTGACATAATCAGGAGAGTGAGGAATTTAGGACGATCTTCCAAAGGCACAGCTGATCACGGCTGACTCACTCAGGCAAAGATGCACGTAAAGCATCTGCATGGGCAGCCTGAGCGTGCCGCCTGGCTTGGATGGTCTCACATACCTCGGTTTCTTACATGGTTGCATGCGCTTAGACGCGGTGACATCTGAGGGATACTCGCAGTTCTTCACTGACGCCGTCGCCTCCTCAGACTCGTCGTCGCTCGAAAGGATGCTCGTCGACCGTCGCCCGAAACCGTGGAGGTCGAACAAGCACAGCCGAGGAGGGAAACTTTCTGACGGTCCCGGGAGTGATTGTGGAAGATGGCAAGGTCTACAAGACCTGGACCCCGGTCGTCTTCCTTTGCAAACCGCAAGACGAGTGCAGTGCAGATGCATGCAACTGTTGGGCATCACATGCATCATCTCTTTCCCGTGCAGGACAGAGGAGCTGGTGAAGTCTGCATCTCTCACTGCTTACATGAGCAACTTGTCCTCTGTGTGGACTTACAGTTGGACGAGGTTTGCAGCTTAGCCGTGCTAGAGACTTTTCGGCGAGTCCTCCTGAGGCCACTATGCCATGCATCCTTTCCAGCGAGAGTCCGGGACGCAGCAAAGCAAAGGCCACGATCTGCCAAGCCACGTCTGCCACGTCTGCCTCAGGCTGCGACTGAAGAGGTCTGGAGAGCAGGTGATCCAGGCTACGACGTAAGCAAATCTTCGGTAGCTGATTGCAAGGGGCCAGGGGGGAGGGGCTTCAGAGTAGGTTTTCAGCGTTGTCTTTTGATGGGACCTCCTTCATGTCTGTTCCCACCCAGACGCTTCTGTTGCAGAGGCCAAGATCGAGGCCAAGGGCAAAGTGGGATATCGCTGCCTGGTGGAGACTCCACAAAAAGCCACGTGTCTTGCCTCAGAATCGTTGATTGGGACAGAGCTTGCCTCAATATTCCTGAACAACGCGCATGCTGCGGACAGGATTGCTGCAGCTGCCGAGAATGCCTTGCCGAGCCTGGAATTCCGTGGTGTGGTGGTAGAGAATGGCACCGTCTTGCGCCACTGGAGGCAAGAGCTGCTGGTAAAGGGACTTGCCCAAACCTGACAAGGGCAATGAGTAAGGACAGTAAGGATCATGTACCCACGTTTTTGTTGCAGCCTGCTTAAGCTCAATCAAACAGAGGTTCGAGAAATCCATCTTCCCGATAGGCCAGAACTCAAGGTATTTTGGGTTATACAGGGCTTGGAGCGTGTGGTGTTTCTTCTTTGTGTCACTTGCGGGAAGATTGCCCCCTCCTTTTCCTTAATTTAGTTCGGACCCGCCTGGAAGAAAAAGTGTCGGAATGTAAGAGGCGCAAAAAGAAGTATCCAATGAATAGCTGCGTACATGCTAGCAATAGCAAGTATCGCGGAGAGGATTTGAGTGCGAGATAAAGACAACATAGAAGATCATTCAATCGCTCTGGCACTTCCAGAACTTCTTGTCTAAGTTTATGTGGATGAACGAGTGTGGCGAAGTTGTCAAAAGCACGATTACGAAGTTGAGATGATTAGTTAAGGGACTACGGAATTTGCTTAGCCTGGTTGGCAGTAATACGGAAGGAAATCGAAACTGAGGCGGCAATAAGGACAACGACAAGCAAGATTGATGTCATGGGTCCGAGCTATTCTATTCGCAGGAACGCATGCAGCGTACAAAAGTAAGGATGAACGCCGCCTGAAGACTTGTTCACAACATGCACCAATCTTGCTAGGTAAATGTGTTGACGTACATGATCTTACATGGCTTCACAAAGACCCAGAACCTGAACTTTCCGTATTCTTGAACTAACTTGCTGTTTGCATGTTCTTATTTTCGCAAGGAACCTCACTCAACAAAGAACAGACGGTCAATCTTAAGATCATGTTTGGAGCCACATGTGATATCTTCGACATGTTGTTTTCTGTCTTGATGCGAATTCGAAGCCACATGCTCCTAAGTTTTCGGAGCTGGTTCGCATTTCGCTATGCAGTTCAAGTGTCGAGAAGTCATTGCACACGATTCTTCAATATGTGGCAGCTGCATGGTGAATGTCAACTGCAGTTCATTTTTGTTCGAGCCAACGCAAACTTGCGGCCTGAATGATAAGTGCCTTTTCCTTGGGCACGCCTGTCGGGAAGATGGATTTCTAAAACCTCTGTTCGACAAGGCTTATGGAAAGTAGCCGCAGGAGTGTCCTGACTCAATATTTCGCCAGGATGGATCCCTTGGGAGATCTGGAGCGCGGCGGAAATCTGGACGCCGACTGACCCAGAGTTCGTTTCCTTAGGTGGGATGTGATCGCTATTCCTCGTTGACTTCGGGACCAGTACTTGTGACGACATGCTTAGACGGTATTGACAAATCTGATCCCAACCAGACCAGACTTACGAGCCACACTGATCTTCCTGGTGGCCGTTCTGCGGGCCCAGGCACATGAGATGCAAATTGCCATGATGGAAGCCGGATTGATCCCCAATGTGGTGGACTACTTTGACGTGGACACAGATCCCAAAGGAAAGTTCGCCCTTTGGTTTTAGATTGTGATTAGTTCTTGCATACGGTGCTCGCAAGATCCTGCATGTCCAAGGAGCCTGGCCAACCCTATCGCGTCCGGATGTACTCGACTGCCACTCGTCACGTGTGTTTATAGCTATGGGACGAGGAGACAAGATCACATAACTGCAACAGTGAGCTTGTTGTGCTGTGTGGAATTCGTGTCAAAGGCCCGAGAGCCTCGCCCTGACTCCTCCGAGGTTTCCGGTTCGAAGGTCGACACGACGAAGCAGCCGCTTGGAGTAATCGGCGGCCTAAGCTGACAACGACACGCCAGCATGGCAGCATGAACAGTGGTTTCCCGTGCTATCTGTGATGAAGGAGGGAAGGCCTGCCACCGAACAATGGTTCGCTGGAAAGTTCGGATTGATAGGACAAGGAGTAAGACTGTCTGTGGAGGGGCCAGACGGCTTGGATTTCCAGCTGACGGCGAGACAGTCTGTGTGGCCCTAGCGTTCACGCACACAACATCGCAACCGACGAAAGCTTGGACATCAGGAGGGCGGATGGTCGATCGGGGCAGGACGAAAAACTGGCGAGCCTGTAAAACATGTCCGAAGAAGAGTTCGGAACCCGGTCGGTGTTTCAGCATCCCATAGATTCATGGCGGCCAGGCCGCAACAAGGGAAGGGAGAAACGAACAGGCCCGAAATGTGTATGTCAGTTAGGACATAGGGAAGAAGATCATCAGCCAAGTGAACATGAATGCCTTGTCACTGCTATGAGGTACGTTGAGATCGTTTCCTTGCCTTCTGCTTTCGAGATTCCGGGGACTCTTGGCTGAAGCAGGAGGCTACTTGAGTGGATGCTGTTTGAGATCTGCTTTTCGAGATGTCTGCCAGAAGCTGCCCCGGTTTGTGCTTGCGGAACCTGCTGCTCGGGGGGAGCCTTTGCAATAGGACCCATGATTGACACAGCTTCTTTGGAGCTAGCTTGCAAAAGATAAGCACCCACGATTCATCGAGAGGGCGGCGCGGTGACAATGCTGTGACCATGATGAACTCACTCTGGTCCTCAAGTCGGGAAGACGGCCAAAAGAGGGATTAGCACCAAAATGGCAGCATCGTCGCGATGCCCCGGGAGGATAATATAGGAAAGCAGGCAGCGTGGCTGAACGATCTGTTGCAAGCCGCAACTTGCGATGGCGACGGTTGGTCAGAATTAGTGGCGTCGGTCGAGGCCTCGTTCGAGGAGACTAAGCACTTGACTGGTTCGTCAGCTGCAAAAGCAATGAAGCGTGATGGGACATGCAAGCCGCACGAACACATAAACGCATGACGGACAGATCGGAGTTTGGCAAGCTGCAGGGTGACGGCATGTGATGCTGATTCTTGTTCATGCTGCACGACGATCGGTACAGCGAGCTGCTACAGGCTTGACTTGCACACGATACAGTAGTCGGCAAAACAGTTGACATTCAAGCAAGACAGCAAAACATCAAAAAACTTAGTGTAGCAAACCTGTTGCTCAGTAGTTTGATTGCGTCGAGAGTTGCGCAATGCTGAGAATGTTCGACTATTTCAACGTCACAATGCTTGACGAGGTGCCTGTACTGCAGAGTGAGACGCCAGGGATCGATCCGTGCAGTGATAGTGTCGTAGGCTTGAAAGGATGCCAAGATTGTGCTGTGCACAATGTGAGCATGACTGGCACATGTTAGTACGTAGTAAAGCACTGTATACATCCACGACGACTTGATGCCTATCAACTGCTTTGGACGTGATCCAAGGGATGCAGATTCTCCAGGGAGCTGCAGCAGCAATTCAATGAATCCAACTCCAGCAATCTGAGCATGGCAGCCAGAATGCTGGTCGACGAGGCCGGAAAGCTTGTCGACGTTTCTTGGTGTTTAGTCTCGCAGGATTTGAGCGTCAGGTCGAGATGTTGGATCGAACCAATCGATCTTCCACAAGCGCCGATTTCAAGATGCCGCCGGCCCTTTGCTTGCACCGTCTCGGAAGCGCCTCCGAGCCCACAAAGCCTGCGGTTTGGGCGGAGGGGTGTCTCATAACCGCTCGTGTTAAGGCTGCGAAGTGACGGTCTTCTCAGAAAGTCGAAGCCACCAAGGAAATCTATCCCTGGTCAGAGTTTCCAAACAGTGTTGCCTGGACGTTCGACGAGCTCAAAAAGCAACTTGACCGAATCGAGTTAAAAACAGAATGCTTTCTGCATTTGCATGATTTCGCGCTGCCTTGCTGAGGCGAGCTTCGGCTGGCAATTTGCATGATGATGCCCTGACATTGGCGAGGACACTGCCTGACCTTCCTTCAAGCACATGGCGACTGCCCCACTTGACATCAGATTCTGGCTTCTGCGCAGGCTATGTTCGGTCTGTGCTAGTCGTCGACTTAGCGAATTCGATTAAGCCTCCTTCAAGATCTGTCGTATGGTCTGAGAATCGTTAGCATCACTTTAATGCAACGGTGGCCGAAATCCCATCATGTCGGCACAGGACTAGCAAGTACTGGGATGCCATCTTCACACTTCGGGAGAACCAGGCATGTTGCAATGCAGTTGGAATTCGAATGATACGTTGCGATCTTGTTGCAACTGCACATCCTTTAGAGAGGTGGAGCTCGACAGCCACCGATTCTACGATCAGCTGGCTGATGTCCCGTGTCGGCAGACAAGTCGCGAGCAGTGGCGAAATAGGCAATGGTGGTGCATGTCAGCTCCAACAGAGACTTGAAGAGAGTCTCTGGTTCCATATCTGACGGACCGCAGAAGCCGCCACGATTACATGCCGAGAAGCCGCAGAGCAATGAGTGTGATTGTGGATGCTGATGCTGGGCTCTTCACGTATCTTCACGTGACGCTCTGTGTCGCCTGCTGACCTTTGGCATGTGGCAAAGGACTCGTGTTGCTAGATAGTAGTCAGCGGAACAAATACTGTAGCAGGCGTTTGAGCTCTTGAGCATCTTGGACTGCCAAGCATTGGAAGACGTGTGCTTTCCAAGACGTACAACATGTCCGTGAACGACACCAACTTTACCAACTACTCCAGCGGCGGCCGACGACTCTCCACGGGTGCCTCAGCTGCTTCAATCTCAGAAAATTGTCGGCAGAAGCATCTACACTTGCAGACGGACGCCGCTTGTTGGCACGTCGCCTGGGACGTCGCACGCCGACAGCAGATGACGGCAGCTACTTCGTTGAGATGCTTGGCTTGCCGCTGTGTTAACGAACCTGTGAGGAATGGTGGGACGTTTGGCCTCGAAGCACACACATGTTAAGTGATCTGTTGTTCTGCTAGGATTGATGAAGACGATCTGAAGCCTCAGCATCCTGACCACCCAATGCGGCGCCTTTCCGCCTCCCGGCTGCCGAGACCTGTCCGTTTTAGGCTGAAGACCTCGAAAGTTTGAATGCCGAGTAGTTCGGAGGGCCGCGCAAAACAAGTGCCGATTGGAGACTTTTTGCCGGATCGGAGTTGACCCGATTGTGAGGCACGCCGCCTGGATGATGACGACAATCCTTTCTGGAAGTACAAGGCATGGGTCACTCCGGAAAAGATTGCCTCTTGGCTCAGCTGTGAAAGTTCGCAGAAAGCAGGGATCGAGGCAGCATTGGAGACTTGGACGCCCGAGCCGTGTGTACCCAGTACCATGCTGCATTTGCGAGATGTGTTCTCGTGCATGCATGCTGCCAGCTGGGCATGCACGCAGACTTTTCTGCATACACGAGGGTTTGAAGTGCATGAATTTACCGTTTCTGAAGTGGGGCACCACAGCAAGCGTGGCAGGGGCGTGCTGACTGCGGGTCTCAGACATGTGAATGGGTCGACAGTTCGCAGATTGAACCTATAGAGACCTGGAGCTGAGCTGGTTCTGTGCACTAGTTTGTGTTGTGTTGAGGTTTTTCAGAAGCTAAACCGGTGGACTCTGACATGGGGCGTCGCGCTTGCGGTCTGTTTGTATCCGGCTGCTGAGGACATCGAGGTTGAAGCAGGCAAAGCGAAGCTGCAGTTCTTGGCCGCTCGGTAAAAGCGAACAGGAGACGGTGCAGACTCAGATTCGCAGCGGATGCTCGAGCAGCTCAGGTGCAGTACTGCAACCTCTGGAATCCGACTGCGACGAACTGGGGTGCTTGCATGACCGGCTCTGAGTCGCGATGCCTCCGCTAGGCCGCTAGGTCGCTACGTGAAACTGTGGAATTTGATATAGTTCCCTTCCCTTGAGGACCGGACGAGCCGGAGGCGGCGACATCGTGAAGCTGGAAGCCTACTGCAGCGGCCGGCAGATCATGTTCCCCTTCCCCAAGGTGTCGACGTCTCGCGCAGGCGCGCGCTTTTTGCTTGCTGCGCCATCGACAGGTCCAGATGGAGCTCGGCGGTCTGTTGGTCTACGATGACACGAGCGCAATGGGCATCGACACGGCTGCTTTCTCTCCAAATACATGCCCTGTCACACGGTATTCGCAATCTTGTTCTCAGTGGTTGCAGGAGGGCCAGCAGTTGGAGTCCTCAGTCTTGAGCTTCATGTCTGACTTTCCTAAGGGCAAAAGAATCTACATGAGCCCCATCGCCGCGAGGGGTAAAGCTCTTCGGATGGATGGCTGGAGTTACAAATTCGCGAATCCTGGCGATGCCTGGGCCCAAGATGTAAAGGGTTGAAACTATCCTTGTTTCATGCCGGCTTTCCTTTGTGTTGTGGCTGCGGGCCAACATGCTTTCCCACCCGGCCCAGAACTGATTCCAAGCCGGGACTTCCGGCGCTTTCCGATCTGCTTGTCGTGTTTTTAGTATATAAGCAGCGGGATGAAAAGGTTTTGAGGATGGTGTTGAGACCTGCGGTGTAGACGGCAGATACTTTGTTGAAGGCTCTATTCGGATTCTGTTGCCGTATTTTAGAGATGGTGGGAGTCATGTGAGTAGTCGCTCAGACAGTAATCGAAGTCTGAAACTTCCGCCTAGTCGGGCGCTGCGGCTGAAGCTCTCCTTTTTTTGGCGCTGACTCCTCTTGATTTCCGGTTGTTGGGGATGCTGGATTCCTGTGCAATATACTTCACTGGGGGTATTCTGACTCGCATTTGTGGTTCGTAACATGTCTCTACCTGCTGGATCTTGCCATCGGTCGACGAGATGTGCTTAGCGAAGCTTGATTCAGCAAGCAGGTCAATTAAGAGCCGGCCAAGAGGAGCGGTGTTTGGAGAGGCACCCCAGACTTCCTACAGGAGACACTAAATACCAGCGACGCACGACCACCGGAATTACCTTTTTGCTTGATAACAAGCGAAGACTTGAGGTGATGCAGCTTAAGTGCGAGTACACAACTGCACTCCGCTCAGGGAGTGTGGAAGAAATGAACTGCCGCATCCAATGCCGACGGAGTTGAGGTCAATCCTCGAAGACACTCAACGTGTTGAGTCTTGTAGGTTAGTGTCTTCTGCAGGCTGGAACAACGTTTATTCTTGAGTCTGCAGATGGTGGCATTGGCGTACTTGGCAGCGATGCACGGGTCTGGATCAAAAACACGGGCGGCGGCTTGCTTGAACGAGTGTTTTGAAACTACCATACATGTGCTGGTCTGTGCTTCAAAATCCGTGGTGGCTGTCGGCTGCAAATGTCACTGGTGAAGTTACATTCCAGAACTGGAGCGACCTGAAGCGCCTGATCTTAGTTTAGTTTGGGTGGATGCTGGAATCAGTGCTGAGGACGTTGGATGCAGGACAACCGAGGGAACGCACGAGTAACAAATGGCCCTCCCCGCGGTTGGGAGAAGTTCAACGCTACTCGGCCGCATCGAATCCGTGAAGTGCGTCGTTCCAGGATAATTAGAATCGTCAAGATGGGTGAGCATTCATGTTCCTAGTTTGCGTCATCTGGCTGAGCACACCATTTGTCAGCTAATGACGGGGTATTCCACGTTGTGGAAGCATGGCATTTGTCTGTATCGATGCGCCGTGCAGGCCACGCTTCCAGCCTTAGTGTTTTTATGTCGCTCCGAAGGTGTTGGATGCTGGCGGTGGCAAGGTGTGGTTGAGGAGCCACCGCGGCGAATATTTGGGCGTCGAGGAGACGGGTCCGCAACCGGGCGCCTTGGCAGGTGATCGCCTCGGAGAGGAAGATCGTGCGCCAACGCCAGCCAAGGTCCGTTGGAGTGCGCCGCAGTGGGCTCAGTGTTCGTTTGGCACGGAGAAGATGCGCAGACAGATGACATTTTCCTCCAACCCAGCATAAACGGCATATTAACGGGTCCATGCTGCCTTGAGGTCACTCTCTTTCGCGACAGCTCCCTGTCTCAGCTCCTGTCGAGCTTATAGCCTCGGGATCAGTGATGCACACAACGGTGCCACCTTACAGAGAGATTCAGAAATGCGAAGGTTGAGAGGCTGATGCTACATGAAGTCTTCCAGTGACAAGTTTGTACACGCTCACTCCATGACTCGTCTTGCAAGCTCACCTAGGACGTTGCAGGGGAAGCAGCAAGACGTACAGATCGACGAATGCCGCCGGAGGTCAAGAATGGCGAAGGTTCGGTCGGAGGCGCTGGGGCACATCAGCTGCTCGTTCGCAGCATGAAACAGCCTGGCGGAATTCAGTTACTGTGGTCGAGGACACGTACTAAACTCTATTTAGGCTGCCTCGAACGCGACAAGAAGATGCCGTTGACAATGAAAGAAAAAGGTTTTTGCGGCATGCGCGTAGATCCAGGGCCACCGTATCGCAGATTCTGTATCCATTGTCTTACCGTTCTCGAAGTTGCCACTGCGCTGGTCTGATCCTCAACCACCAGGATCAACCGGTCAGGATTCTGGTGTCTCCTCTGCTATGTAGTTTTTGTTTTTCTTCCTCGAGGGCGAATTTCGAGAAGTTTCGGCAATTGCTCAAGTCGCCCCCCCCGGCACGCTGAGAACGATGAGTGGCGATCAGCACGTGCAACTGGCGATTGCCAAATGGTGACTGGGCTGAAGCGCTGATTGGACAAATGGAATTTTGGTTTTGGATCAAACATCCAGTCCGGGGGTTTTGTCGGCCATTCTTGTAAAGGGCATATCAAAAAGATGAAGTTCCAGACTCGGGCATTTGGACGAGTGGCCACGACCTTGGCATCAGTGCGACATGGGTTTGACAAGGTCGAGTTTTACGATGAGGACGAGGATGTGAGTGGCTACGAGGACAACCAGTATGTGTTTGGCAATTTCGACTGTGAAGACTTCAAGGTAAAGAGCTGAGATGAGATGTTTCACGCATGGGTCGAAGTAGTGCTTCGGCGCTCGTGAGCTGAGTCCGATCTCGACGACGATCTGCGCAAGACTCAGGGAGATCGTGCAGCTTTGCATAATAATAAAGTGATCGTTTGCGCGAGATGAGTTTGACCAGGGGTGGCCTCAGAATCACTGCCAAAGGGCCGGACCCTCCAGAGTCTTGGGCATTGATTAGTGTCCTTCTGTCTGAGCGAGGGGGAGCAGTCGTGTGATTGCACCAAAGAGCGGTAAGGAGTTCGAGGGCAACCTGGTCCTGCAGCTTGGCAGTCTTCTTGTCACCGTTTGAGATGCAAGTCAGTTGCTCCACAGTCTGCACGAAGGTATAGCTGGAAGGACCATCGTGCACAATGGAGGTTGACCAAGGCGGGCAGGGAAGAAACTGACCTCGCTTTGGGGAAAATAAAACCGCTACAGGAGGAAGACGGCAGCTCCATCATCTCGTTCGGGGATGCGCTTCTTTATGGTGGTCTGACCTTCTCCAAGGCACCTGGCGTCCCAGCACGTGAGTCAGTTGTTTCGAGACTCGTGAAAGGAAGTTGAGATCATCTGGGACATCGGCGCTTCCTGGACCACCGAGATCGGAGCAGCGGGTGCATTCCACAATACTCACGGCATTTACCTGGCCGAAGTTTACGGGAAACTTGAAGAAATCAGTTCATGCGTCAGAACAGAGAGCCTGCCTCAACTTGCAATGGGCGAAGCAGAATGCGAAAGTGCCCAGGAAGACCATCTTCGAGATAACACCCGCCCAGATCTACCTGCCACACAGATGCACTGGTGAAGCTTGCAGCTGACGCTGGAATCGAGGCTTTTCCGGTTGCGCTGCCTTCTTCTGCCCCCGCCAGTTGGACCCGTGAGTTTAGCACGACACAGCCCTTGTGTGTTTGCGGTGGGAGATTGTTATGCAGCTTCTCATCCACATGCCCGAGCTATTCTTCTGGCTGTTTGTCCTTTATCCGTCCTCGATTTTGCCAGCAGTTCAATGGGCATCCGAACAACTGCAAATCGGTGCTTCCGATTCATTTCAAGACATTCAAGAAGCCAGGGCGTCTCAACGACTGAGGTAAGAAGCAGTAATCAGTAGTCGAAGTGCAGGCTTAGCTCTTACTTCCGAAAAATCCTTGAGATTGAGCTACGCTGCTCAAGCGGTCCCTTAGTGCGGTTGCGGCGTCATGTGCACGTCGCTGTCTGGGACTTCATGTTTGTCGAGCAAAACCGGCAAGTCCATGAAGCTACCCGCAGCCAGACATCAGAGATGAAAGACCATGGGAATAGGCATCCTAGAGCTCCAAGCCGTCCCATTCTGGGATTGAGCCGAGGCTCCTCAAGTTCAATCCAGACGAACCCTGGGACACGCATCTTGGCCTTGCCTGTCATATGCAGTCTGAGAACCTTGAGACTCGACTGCCTCGACCAGCGACAGCGAGCGGACCAAGGAAGTACAAGAAGTGGAAGATGTATGTTGGCGTTGGGTATGACCCTTGTCTGACTCTGAAAGGAAGCTCTCGTCAATGGAGAGTGATCTGAGAAGAGACAGAGACAGCGCTGGGTTGAACATGGAGAGCCCTGCCTGAGCCCAGGAGCTTGATGCCTTTGCCGGTGCCCTACAAGTATCCTCTTGCTCTCTGGTTCTCAAGTTTGATAACCTGCCCGTACTGTACATGTCGTGATGTTTCTTTGAAGCCAAGGTGTATACATTCAGAGATGAGTACGAGATTACTACCAGCGATCTCAATTTTTGAGGCATCCCAAAGGTGATGCTGATGCGATGTGTTTGAAGACGCATCGCTTGTTTGAATAAATTTCCGGTTTCCTTGCTTGTTCTTTCGCCGCTGCACATTGGACCTTGTCCTTGCAGTCAAGCGAACGCAGTGCGCCTGTGTGCTTGTCATTTTGAAGTGACTTCACAGACATGAGCGCCGAAGATGCATGCTTCCATGTGGGCATGTGCTCGAGTGCGGTGTCCTTGGGGGTGCTTCCGGGCATAGAGACAGTGCTTCATGCTGCTTCCTAACTTTTCAAGCTCTCAAATCGCGAGTGGCTCTGGGATTGGCAGGTCTTCTCCTGGCAAGACCCCTGCTGACAACTTACCTGCGCAGGTTGATCTTGTGGAGCTTGAATGCCTTTCGAGCACGACAGAAGATGTTAGAAACGGAATGCATAGCTCATATGCTTCGTTGTGTTGCTCGGGACAGACTGATGATGACTGCGCTTTCAAGCCACAATTCATGCACAACGAAGCTTGCCCGCGCGGTTGACCTGGAGCCCTTTAAAGAGGCATGTTCTTCAGTTCTGATGCATCTCGTCGAGCAGATTTCATACAGAAGGAACATGCGTTCTGGGCACGTGCATATGTATCTGTCTGTCTGCGTGTCTGTCCATGTATCCATCTTCTTTCGATCAGTCTACCCATCTCTATCTGTCTTCATCTACTACCTGCCGATCTCCCGATCCATCTATCTATCTATCTATCCGTCGGTCTATCCACCTTTCAATCTCTGTCTGTCTGTCTGTCGATCGAAAAAGTGAGTTCGCTGCCCTCCTGCCTACCTCCCTGCCAGCTTGCCAGGCCGGTAGCTAGCTGATTTATTTGTCTGACCTGTGGGAATATGTTTCTCTATTTATGAACTATGACAGCTCGAGCTTGAGAAGCGCATCTTATCTGTATATCTACACGTGTAATAATTTTAAAATAGTAATGATAAATAAATAGATAAATAAATGTATATATGTATATATATATATATATAGACACTCACATGCACATGTGTGCATACACACATATATGTGTATATGTATACGTACATGTATACGTATATGTATATGTATACGTATAGGTATAGGTAGATGTATATGTATAAGAACTCGAAAAGCAACATGCTTCCCCTGACCCCATTCACAGTTTTCGTCCTCTTGAGGGGGAAACCATCAAAAGCACAGGGATGAAGCGAAGCGGTCGTCCCCGAAGCCAGGTTGACGGACAGGTATCCTGCCCTCCCTCCCTTTTCGGTGTGGTTGCACAGTGAGGAGGAAGCTAAGAAAAGACATGTATTCATTGCGTCTACATGCCCTCATGAGGGGTACTTTGCAAAGGATGTATATTTAGTACCACCGAAGCATGGTGTGTCAGTTCAACTAGCTGGGATATTGACTCGTCATGTCGATAAAAGAGTCTTGAGAGCTGTTAACAATGGCATCTCAGCGCCTTGATCATCACGGGTGCACATGTGAAATGTGTACATCTGAAACAAGTACGAATGATGGACAAGTACAAGAGATTGGGTATGCTGTGCCACAGAACGCATGTTCGTGATTTAACCCTCCAGAGACATGGGCGGTGGAATTGATACTGACCTCTCGCAGACATTCCGGCATGCGCGGCCAGACACCAGTAAAGACACCAGTGAAAAGCCGAACCGAACAGTTCTAACCGAACAAGCCCAACGGAAAAACCCAGCCGAGACAACCACACCCAAAAGGCCATCGCAACAAGACAACAGCCTTCAGATACCGAAAATACTCGAGCGTTTGTCGCGTGGATCCGCGTGGCCTCCAGTGGGAGTTTGTGTTTTGTAAGCATTTGTCGGTTGCGCTTTGTCGTTCAGGATGTTTCTGTTGTTTTTATTCGCAAAGGACTTTGCTGTTAGCTTTTTTCAGTAGAGACTTTTTGGTTAGATTCTTTGGCTGGTTTGTTGGTTCCTTTCCAGCATCAAACCAAATTCCAATGTCTTTTCATACTGCTAAGCCGGTTATCAATCTTTTCTTGGGTAGATACATAGTGACTCTCTGCGGGGGAGCGCCTGAAAAAGACCATACGAGACAACTCCGGACAAACACAGATTTTTTGAAATACGTCAAAACTTTCTTAAACAGAGAGTTTCGGCTGGCACAGGATAAGGTTATTGTGTCACGATTTCGCTGCACGTGCGCAATGGAGCATCTGTAGATTTATAGACGACCTTGCTACGACAGAGATAGACAGAGACAGTTGAGGTTTAGGGTTTGGGGTTCAGGGTTTAGGGGGGGTATAAGCGCATACATACACAGGCGTGCTGCATTGACGTACATGCATGCATACAAGGTGTGCGTGCATACATTGATACATGCATACATACATGGGTGCGCACATGCATGTATGCATCCCTTTGCATCCGCACCTAGATACCCCTCTAGCTAGCTGGCCTGGCTAACCAACTAACTAACCAGCCAACTAACTAAGCCTAGCTAGCTAGCTAGCTAGCTAGCTAGCTATCTAGCTAACTAACTAACTAACTAACTAACTGAAACTGACTCACTAACTAACTGTCTGACTATCTAATCACATATATGTATATGTATTTTTGTACACATATTGAGCAGCATGTACATTTTTTACGTAAACGTCTACGAGTGCGTAGATGCATGGATGCTCATGATTTCTGTTGTCTCCAAACGAATATATGTGTGTACATCTATATATAGACATATACACATATATACCTGCAGATATGCATACACAACTATTTCCATATTGCCATTCTCACAAGTCTTGTTGTATTATGTAGCCGGAGTTTTTAAATAGAATATTATGTTGGGTTAACTTGGAGTGTTACACATTATTGACTGTTGTTTTTCTTAAGTGTATGCAAGCTGTACATACACATTTGTACACACATGCGCCGCGCATGTGATCTTTACCCGAACATGATAAGCTTCGTGATGTTCTATCATTTTGTAAGGTGTTGTATTTCAAGCTCATTGGCTGCATTCGAAGATTTCGTCGAACCGGCGACAAGCGTGATGCTGGCTTACTAAGTATTTGTATGCCTGTTTGGTTGAAGTGACGGTTTCATGAACGGAAAGAGAGAAGCGAGATGATTGGGAGAGTGACTGAGAAGTTGTTTGTGACATTCGGATGACTTCTCCCAAATGCAAGGCAGAAGCTCTCCGATCTGATTTCGGGGTGAGTTTTGGCTGTTCTTTCGACCGAGTTCTGGGCAGGTTTGAACCGAGGCTGCAAGCGATGCGCATTGCATTTTGCCGATGACTGCATGTTGGCACGTTCTTCGGCTTGAAAGGGTAGCTTGCCCAGTGTCGCTGTGTGTGAGCCGCCATCGCACGCCATGGCCGCCCCGGACCTTCTCTGGGAGTGCGTGAAGCCGTGGGCTTAGCGACTGCGGCTGTGAGGGCTCACACACACTTGAGCCATGAGGAACAGCTCGTCCTTCATTCGCAAAAACAAGAATGTCCCCACCATGACGGCTGAGCCAGGAGGGCATGCTGTCCGGAAGAGAGACCAGTACAGCGAATGCTTGGTGTGCCAGGCAACCTCACTGGCTTGAACTCTTTCAAGAGCTTGCCTCAGACAGATGCAATGGTTGGGCAAGTTGAGGTCGAATTGCATTCAGCGCTCAGGTACAGTGGTCTCGCTGCCAAACAGGTCTTGGGTTTGGATTCCAAGAAGGTGGGAAAGAAGGACGGTCTTGATTTCGTGCCTTTGTACTGCCAAAGATAGCTTCGTGCTCTCGTAGAAAGTGTGTGGTGCCTTTTGAGGGAGGATGTGGCCACTGCTCTGGGGATGCGAAGTGAAGTCATGATTGTCTTAGTAGGATTTGACGGGTACGTTGCTCAGCCGGGTGTTCGGTGCCAACATATCGGGCGGGACGTCTTGAGTTGTCTTAGATAACGTCAGTAGAGACCGGGCCGATTCGTCTGGCATGGAGCGGCAACTTCGCGAGTGCTTTCCAGGAGTCCATTGTCCTCACCACCCGCAGCAAGAGGAAGGGAAGGCAACAGCGGCCCGGCACCGTCCTTGTCACCACCGGGATCAAGAAAGGTGCGGCTAGCCTGCAATCACGGAGCGATGTCGTGGCTGCATCTTGGCTTTGCCAGGCAGCAAGAAGGGCCCCGAGCAGCTGAAGAAGGCACAGTTTCCATTGTCATTCAATTTGCTCGACACAGCGCCCTTGCAGATCATCGCGACAACCTACAACCGCCCGGACATGCTGGCAATGGCCCTCGCCAAGCACCTTACTCGGAAAGCCACCTTTTAGCAGGGCTGCGGCCTTGCCAGAGCCCAGGTACAGCAAGATCAAGAAGTCTTTCAAGAAGAAGGTGGCACTGCAGCCGCTTCCCTGGACATGTCAGTCGGTTGGCAGCAGAAAGCCGCGGCATTCTGAGTTGAGGTCCGTACGCAGCAGGAAGTGAGCACAGCAGGCGTAAACGACAGGGCATCATGCGGCACAAGATGGGAAAAGTCCTGTGCACCATGTGGTTTCTAGTCAGACTGGAACCTCACCTGGCTGGGCATGTGCCTGTCGAGTAGTTAGCTTATTTTGCGTGTCTCTGTCGACTTTGTCGTGGATTGACCGGAACTGACTTAGGCTTCGTCTTGACTTTGCAACCATGGCTCGACCATCTGACGCCGTAGGATCAAGAGTCAGGCTCACGACTAGCTGCCTTTGTCGTGACCTGCGAAAGAGATGGACGTCTGCTCAGATGTGGCATGAGATGTAGGGAGATGTATCTTTCTTCAACGCTGCTGTTGATTGTCCTGCTCGTGATCGTTTCTTGTAACGTTGACTGTTCCTCCGTGGCCCAGGCGGAAGAGCCGACTTCCCCCGCCAACCAGGCAGGAAACACAAAGGTTTCACGATTGTTTTATCTCTGCCAGTCAGTCAACACAAGTTTGCCGACCGCCGGAACATGAACCCGATAGTGGATCCTGAATTCCCAAAAACCTATTATAACCTATTGCAGGGAAAAACCTTACGACGCAGGGCTGCAGGGCTTCGTGATCTTCATGTCTGCCAGGGCAAATGGGTCGAAAAGTCCGAGAACAAAATGATGCAGGCTCGAAGTTTGCGGGAAGTAACTGGGGCGAACTCATCTTGATTGGGGTTCTCACCGAGGCCCGAAACCTCATCCGTGACATGCTCACAGTCGTCCGCAACAACGAGGTGGTGGAGGCGAGCTGTGCGAGAGGAAGAGCTTTCCGCAGCACATGTCGAGTCCAGTTTTTAGTAGGCCTCCAACAAAGCCGCCATGCAAGAAGCTGCCTGACACCCAGAAGTTGTGACCTCTGCTTTTACTCCAGAACCAACTGCAGCTAAAGGACAAGCGAGAGAAAGATGCAAAGAAGGCTGTGGTTTTCAGCAAGGCCTTGCCGAACGTCGCCTCTTGTAAGAGGAGATGCACTTATGCGCAACTGCAAAGGAGCGTTTGTCTGTACGACTGAGTCTCCTGTTCAGAGGCTGCAGCCCACGAGAAAGTTATTGCGACTTCTTTCAAGTGCATGCAGGACTCTGCATTTAAAGCTTCTCTGTTCTGTGTCTCGCATGAAGGCCTTTCATTTGTGCCAGGATATCGAGGACGGCATTCTGCAGACAGAGGACCAACTCACATGCGGCATTCGAGCAATCTCACTCGCATCGATGCAGGACAGCCTCAGCAAACTCACACACGAACGCTACAGAGGATTTGCGTATCTTCAGGCGCCTGTGACAAAAATTCTGGTGGATGACAGTGCCATGCCGCCATGCTCTCCCGGAGCAGGTTTGCGAGCGCCGCCTTGAGCTGCGGGAGAAGCGGCCACCGGCAGAAATCTTCCAAGACGCCACGCCCCAAGCAGCGCAGCAGCGACCAGCCATGTCCGAATCAAAGTCTCAAACCGTCTGTGGAGCCTCGAAGCTGAGAAGGCCCTGACGCTTGTGCGCCTCTTAGAGCAGAAATCCGGACAACACGGAGTTGCTACGCGTGGGATGGCTGCGCAATGCTGCCGGGTTCCCGTGCGATTCGTGAGGCCTTAACTTCGGAGAAGCAGACCTTGGAAGCCGCACGGAAGGAACTCGGCGCCTTCTGACCTTAACAGCCGATTAGCCTACTACACGCAACGCACCGTTATCCCAAGCCTGCTCTTCAGAGCATCCAACTAAAGATGACGTATGTAGGTATGTAAGCGTGTATGAACGCATGAGAGTGTGTATATACTACAATTTTGGGTAGATGGATCGACGCATAGCTGCGTGTGTGTATCATGTAGCTCTGTTCGTGTGCATGTATGTATGTATGTTTGTTTGCTTGCTTGCTTGTTTGTTCGTTTGTTTGTTTGCTTATTTGTTATCTGTGTGCGTACGTGTGTATGCGTATGGGCGTACGACTCTCAATTGTAAATGTATAGGCTTGTCTGAGCGAGTCTGTGCGTGTGCTTGTGCGCGTGTGTGCGCGTGCAAGTATGAATTTGTTTGAACCAATGAATGAACGAATGAATGAAGTACGCATGGGTGAACCAATGAAACAACGACATACCAGCAGTGAAGGACAATATGTCGATCTACCAATGAAAGAACGGAGTGGAATGGACTGAGTGAATTTATGAGTGAATGATGAAATGCAGTATGAAGGTAGCTACAAGTGAGGACATATCGGTAGGATGCTCACACGATATAATTCGCTCCGGCGAGCGACGTTAGTCCGAACAGGTGTGTATAACTCACATTTTGCTTGGGCTTTGGCTCGCCCATACTCGCCTCCATGAACTTCATGCCGCCGCCGCACGTTTGCAGCTTGCAATGCAACACTCGCGACATAAGCGCATGGATGCACTGCGATGCAACCCTCAAAGATCCTCAAAGTAGCTGTAAAGCCCTACCCGGAAGCCGCTCAAAACACAAATGTTCCTGCCTGAACGTCGTTCTGGTTGTCGTCTCTCTTAGCACGGATGACTTCGTTCTGGGGCAATTCGTCGTCACTTCGTTTTGACTTTTTTAATAATTGGCCCGGGATAGGCAAGTCTGCAATTTCACGGACCAAAGGATTTCCCAAAGCACCCGCGCAACGCCTGCGGCAGGCCAAATCCGACGACCTCACATCAGCTCTATCCCGAAATACCTGCAAACGCGGACCCGGACCCGGACCCTGCAGCTCCTAAGACATCAAGCTCAACTTGGGGAATGCCCAGGTGTCGACTCGGCGCACTGCCCCGAAACAGCGCGCAGGAATGCATAGCAGACAACATACTCCATAAATCACCGACTGTTACCGGCCTTCCTCAAAGCGATGTTAACTGAGAAGACATTGCAAGGCGTGGTTTTCATCGCGCAGCCATGTCCCTGAGAAGCAGCGCATTTGGAGCGTGACAACCCTGCGCTTACACGCACTCCTGCCAAGAATTAATCACATCAACATTTTTGTAGCGCCATAAGTTATGCGCAACCATACGTTGAGCTCCACGTGGAATGCTTAAATCAACCAGCAGAGCCTAATTAGACAACGTACCCGAGAAGGATATGAGGCAAGTAAAGGCACGTACATTTCATTTCGCATGCCGAGGAGCGAGGATAGGGAGGAGGAAGGGAGTAAAGAAAACGGGGCCGGTGAATCGCTTCGACGGAGCATTCATGCCGACTACGGGAGACCTTCCATTACAGGATGATGTCGAAAGACGAGAGAGCAGGGAGGCAAGTGGGCTCGATCGGCCTGCTCCTGTTGAACGGACGAAAGATGAAGAGAGCGTCGTTCAGGGCATGGGACGATAGATAGTCTTGTGCTTTACTGTTTTACTGGACAGGAAACGAAGAAGCACGGGTTTGCTTTTGAGCATCTTTGTAGCTGTGAAGGGATGTGGATCGCTGTTCAAGATTTGATTTGATTGCTTCTGGCTGGGGAAGGAGCTGCTGGAGCTCGAGGAGCAGGGCAAGAAGATCGTAACCGAACTGAGGTGCGGATAAAGTGTCAGACACGACCTAAACACAAATGTAACCTCGTCGTCTGAGCACTGAGCTGCGAGCTGCTCTCCAAGGGACAAGAGGAAGTTTCTGTCTGAGGATACCGGGATACGGTCCGCGGCTTCAGGGAGTCTACGTGTGGGAGAAGGGTCCGTGACAATGGTCGCAGTGTACCTGTCTGAGGCGTTTGCAGATGATGGAGGACTTGAAGACGCTTTCGCTGGAGTCCTGGTGCAGCCGAAGATACACGCTGGAGTATAGATGATGCAGCGCCTTCAAAACCTTGTGCATCCTTGTCCTTCAGGCCACAGGTGGCACTGCCTCCCGTAAAGGCAGGTATGCCCGGCGGCACTTTCCTTTGTCTCTTTGCCTGCGAGCCAACATAATATGTTGTCCAACACTCCGTGCAGAGCAGCTACTCCCTAACTGTTTTCGCAGCCATGTTGCGAGGCCAACTCTAGCCCAAAGAACGGCAAGGCAGAGCCGAAAGAGGAGAAGAAGGAAGAGAAAGCTGAAGCTGCTGAAAAGACAGAAAAGCCCGAGGAACCAGCCGAAGCACCGGAGGCATTTGTTTTGCACGAGTACTCCAATCCAAGCTGCGTGAGCTGCATCCACAAGCAGGCTGAGCGCCCAGTCACGGCACCTTCGCATGTGATGACGCCCGAGGCGGCAGTTCTGCTTCTGCTTCGTTGCCATGACCAGCCTTTCGCAGGCGTTTGCACCTGCTAGGAGCAGAAGAAAGCAGAGCAAGCTTCAAAGGAGCTCATTGCGGACCGGCGTTTCGTTGTCGTAGATTGGGTGGAGTCAGATCGATCAATGCGATGGGATACTTGCCTGTGGAGCAGTTTCGGCCCTCAGGATACACTGAAACTTCTGGAAAAGACGAGCTGCCACCGGAACAAGAGTCTGGAGACAGTCTTCAAGGTTAAGCAGGACCGATGACTGTCCAGTCATGTCTATTTCAGCTGGTGCCGCATGGGGCAGTGACAGCAGGACACATCAAGAGCAAACCATCGATCGGAAGACTGCCTTTCTAGGCATTCGTAGAGAGTCGTGCTGCTCGGGAGAAACGCGTCTTGCTTCACAGCGTTTGGGTCCGGGACACCGGCGTGACAAGATCTTGGAAGCCAGGCGAACAGCTGAATTGGCAGAAATGAAGAAGCAACTGGAGAAGCATGCGCTCGACGTAGAGGTCTTGTCTGAAAGCCCGTGCCTGCTCTGCACATGTCTAGAGCATTGCTGCAGGCTGCAATTCTCCGTGCAGAGCGTTCTCTTGAACGCACAGAGCGGAGGCAGACTCGAGCAGACATGCTGCCACGGAAAGCTTCGGTACTGCGGCTGCGAGGCTAGACGTCAAGGACAACAAGAAGGTGGAGAAATTCAAGCAGGTCAGCGCCTCAGCATTTGGCATAGACCAACTCTGAGTCATGGCAGAAACAGAGACTGCAAAGGCCTTCATCCTTTTGGCTGCACAAATGATATCTGTCGCAGGGGAAGGAGGAACCCTTAAACCCTACACACAGGCTGTGAGAGGCATGGGCGGGCACTTTTGGCTAAAGGGGGGCCCTCCGTCAGTGATGTCTCCGCCTCGGGCCCCTTGCTCCGTAACCAATGTAGACAGTAAGCGGGCATCCGCCGGACCTCCGTGCACTATCTCAGCGGTGCGGGCATGCCGGTCCGGCACCACTTGTGGCTCCGTCAGGGGGTAGTTTGCCCAGTGTCACAAGCCGCCATCGCCCGCCATGGCCGCCCCGGACCTTCTCTGGGAGTGCGTGAAGCCGCGGGCTTAGCGACTGCGGCTGTGAGGGCTCACACACACTTGAGCCATGAGGAACAGCTCGTCCTTCATTCGCAAAAACAAGAATGTCCCCACCATGACGGCTGAGCCAGGAGGGCATGCTGTCCGGAAGAGAGACCAGTACAGCGAATGCTTGGTGTGCCAGGCAACCTCACTGGCTTGAATTCTTTCAAGACCTTGCCTCAGACCGATGCAATGGTTGGGCAAGTTGAGGTCGAATTGCATTCAGCGCTCAGGTACAGTGGTCTCGCTGCCAAACAGGTCTTGGGCTTGGATTCCAAGAAGGTGGGAAAGAAGGACGGTCTTGATTTCGTGCCTTTGTACTGCCAAAGATAGCTTCGTGCTCTCGTAGAAAGTGTGTGGTACCTTTTGGGAGAAGATTCGATGCGAAGTGAAGTCATGACTGTCTCAATGCGATTTGACGGGTACGTTGCTCAGCCGGGTGTTCGGTGCCAACATTATATCGGGCGAGACGTCTTGAGTTGTCTTAGATAACGTCAGTAGAGACCGCGCCGATTCGTCTTGCACGGAGCGGCAAGTTCGCGAGTGCTTTCCAGGAGTCCATTGTCCTCACCACCCGCAGCAAGAGGAAGGGAAGGCAACAGCGGCCCGGCACCGTCCTTGTCACCACCGGGATCAAGAAAGGTGCGGCTAGCCTGCAATCACGGAGCGATGTCGTGGCTGCATCGGCTTCGCCAGGCAGCAAGAAGGGCCCCGAGCAGCTGAAGAAGGCACAGTTTCCTTTGTCATTCAATGTGCTCGACACGGCGCCCCTGCAGATCATCGCGACAACCTACAACCGCCCGGACATGCTGGCAATGGCCCTCGCCAAGCACCTCACTCGGAAACCGGAAAGCCACCTTTTAGCAGGGCTGCGGCCTTGCCAGAGCCCAGGTACAGCAAGATCAAGAAGTCTTTCAAGAAGAAGGTGGCACTGCAGTCCGCCTCTTTAAGATTGACAAGTCTCCTGTGTGTGCAGTGCAACAGTGAGACTGCACGAACCCAAGGTCTGTCCGGAGCCGGAAGTAAGCCCTGGATGGAGCTGGCGGCGGTGTGAAAAAAGAGCACGCGCACGCTTGCTGTAGTGTGCAACCTTAGACAGACAGACTGACCTCAGGATGTTTGCGCATGATCCATCAACACAGAAAGAGATGCAAGAATTCAGGGCCATGCTTCGGAGCTGTTGCCAAGGACACTGCTATGCTGGAGAACTTGCGTGGAATTCGTGATCGCCTGGGCGAAGACATTCGAAACAAGTGCTTGCCTTGACTTGAATTTGTGTGCTTGAAAAGCTTCGCAAACTCACAGCTCATCAGCATTTACCTGCCGAGTGCTGGCCACAACCTTCCGAACTCCTTTACGAATCCAGAACATTCAGGGCTCCTTCTCTACATGCAAGCGCACACATATTTCGTTAGTTCACGATGTGGGGACGATGTGGGGGTGATGGATGTTTTTGCATCCCATAGACCATCTAGGCGATGCTGCACTCAAGCAGAACAAGCAAGCAGTTCGGAGCAGAGAATGAAAAGTCCTGCTCCATGTTGAAGTCAGGAAATGCAGATCCGGTGAGAAGTTGCGCGTGTGCACGGGGAGAGAATGGTATGCTTCGGCCGGCCGGGTCGGCTTTTGGACGAGGTTGTGGAGCAATGTGCGTCCGGAGAATGACAATCTTCGCGGAAGCCAACAGCAGTGAGACTAGGATAGCAGAATTCTGCTTGCGAACGTTGACTGGCAGCGTGCGGAAACTGACGGACAACGTCCGCCGCCACGGGAGTCGCGTCTACCGGAAATGCTTCGCTCGGCTCTCGCGTCTTTGCTGATGCATGCAAAGTCAAACAGTCGTCGATCCTAATTAGATCGAACATCCATGTAGTCTTGTGATCAAGCAACCGAGACGTGCTCCGATGATAATTCTTAGGGGTCCGGTGTAGGCCATGACGGCCCTGACCGTGGAGTTGGATCCTTTGGGAACAGGGAGCCGATTTTGTACGGGCGTCGAGCTGAACAGCGCCGTGGATAGCGAGGCTGCCCCTGAGTGAGGATGGCTCGGGGCTGAGGTTCTTTTCTAGCTCGCTTGTCTCAAGCCGTCCTTCGCCGAAACAAGCTATTTTCCGGGTGATTGTGTTTCGTACCACGGTCGTGTCACACATGCGATTATATGGTCGTTGCTTGCTTTTCGAACGTGCTGCCTACCAAAATCTGATATCCATCTGTCCAGCTCGAGCTGCACATCTTGCCTTCTCTCTCTTGTCCTTTGCAACCTCAGACTCTGTCACCGCCACAGTGTGTTTCAGCGGGCTGCCAACGTTGATTTCGACCCTCCTCTCCTGAGATTTAGATTTCTAGATCTCCTCGACGATTCGGCCGCCCTCCCCTTTGTGCTAGCCGGACGCCCTGATCTGATCCTATTGCAGCTGCCGCCGAACACGCTGCAGATCCAAGCGGACCGACTGGCACGACCAGTCCCGGTTGCAAGCCAGCATAGCAATCTAGCGCCCGCGATCCTTCAAGCGCGATGGGTCGATCGTGCAACTGGTCTTCCTCCACAAGCCGGCAGTAAATGTCACGCACGTTGTCGCCGAGTGCCACTATGCGAACTTTGAAACGGTGTTGGGATTGATCGAGCTCGTAATCGTAGTGCTTGATCCCCAAGACATCAGGGCCGTACTTGGCCACGGCGGTTTCCCAGGCGCACGCTTCAGATTCCCAGGTCCGCCCCGAAGCGTGATTTGCAGCCTCTTTGCGGATAGCTTCACGTGCAGCGTTTATGTCCCTCACTCGGGATCCCTTCGCTTGACGATCCTTGTTACGCAAGCAAACATTTTCCCCAGTTCAGTTGTCAGCTTGTCCACGTCCTGCTCAAGCCGAAGTGCTGCAGGCGTTGTGAGAACCGTCCCACCACGAACAACTGCGCTGAGTCCAGATGGATCGCTTCCAGACGTCACGGTGGAGGAGATACCTGCATTGTCGCGATCATGGCTTTGCTGCTGCGATGTCTCGGAATCCGCGACCGAACTGTGTATGCCGTCGGGCCGTAATTCAGTGCTGGTCTGATTGTGGCTGCTGTACGCCGGCCTGGATCGCTCTGAATCCGCATATGATGGATGTGATCCAATGTGAGCGAGACGAACTTGAGACGTTATTCTGCGCAACAACTGGTCCTTGAGAAGCGCGCCCCAAATTTGCATCCGATGGATGCGACCCGCATTGGGACCACGATCGGCTAGAGGAACATGGGAGTCGATGGCGCTAGGTCAGGGCGTGGCAGCACAAGGCCACTATCCATGCTGTCATCGAAATCAGAGCCAGTAGGTGCTTCTGTTCTGTGTTAGGGGCGCATCTAATGCTTCTTCTAAGTAGGCTTCTTCGCAGCCGGGGCACCATTAAAGGAGCTAAATAAATCCTGGTAAAATCCTTCGCTGAACATGTGATAAACTGGGTCCTCAGGTGGCTCAAGCATGCCAAGCTTTTTGTAGCCTTTTCTAGCCTTGCCTAGCTTTTCAATGGAATTCCTTAGCCGGGCCCCCGGCCCAAACTCAGGAAAAATCTAGCTTTTTCTAGCTTTTTCTAGCTTTATCTAGCTTTTTCTAGCTTTTTCTAGTTTTTTCTGGCTTTATCTAGCTTTTTCTAGCTTTTTCTAGTGGATTGGAAAACGCACTGCATGCCACATAATTCCAGGAAAAATCCCCCGCTCAACTAACTGCCAACCCTAAAGCACCAAACAGAACCTTCAATCCGAAATCCGGCACCCTGAACCCTTTATCTTCATCCCAAAACCCTCGCCACTATCTCCAAACCCTGAACTCCTGAACCCAAAGCCACAGGTCCAATCGAGACGTCATTGCAGGAAATTATTAGTCTTTTTTAGCTATTTATAGCTTTTTATAGCTTTTCTTAGCCTTTACAAGCTTTGCCTATGGTTTTGACATGTTCCATGGTTTTCCTGTACTTTTCCTGCAATGCTGAAGCGGCCCGCTTGGAAGAGACATGTGATGTGCTCCTATGATTCTGTATCAGCGAACAAATCCACGCGCCAACGAGGTCTGCGTAACGAGGCATCCGTATGACAACGTCCATCACCTTCATCGTCAGGGGTGGGCCCATGTCATCATCATCGTGTGCGTCATGTGATGTCGCATGCCCGCAGCTTAGCGAATCCATGGAAGAGCCGATGACGCCCCGTGATGGAGTGCTCAAAGAATAGTCCATGCTCGTTTCGTGTGAGTCCGGACTGGGTGACTGGGTATCCCGTAGCATCATCATGCACAATCATGGACGAGATCACCAGGAACGCGTTCCCCAGGCACGCATAGGTCTGCCTGATTCAGCCGGTCATCTTCCGCAGATTGTTTATATGCTGGCCTACCGCAGACACACTTCGCAGGTGGGATCCTTCGGATAATGAGCCAAGCAATGTTGGTTTGCCGGTTGCGATTGTGTTACCAACGCCAGAGGAGCCGCAAGGCTAGAGAGTTCCGTCCCACCACGGGTCATGCAAAACTCCCGAAACATGTGAGCAACAAAAATCGTTCAAGTCCTTGTTGCTTCCATACTTGACCAAGCTTGCAAGACCAGCGTCGAAGGCACTAAACAAGAACGGGACGCGATTGACCATGGTGAGTGGCACCTGACGAGAACCACCAACGCGCCCGAACTGTGGTTGCTCAGACATGCTCAGGCTAGCAAAAAATCACATTCCATCTTTCGCCCATCGATGCCATGTTGACTTTGGAATCCGGCATCACCATGGCCGAGTGACGCCCGAGATGCGGCACCATGGCATCTACCTACCATGCCGGTTGGCCGAACTGCGCCAGCCCCTATGTCGATATCAGAGTCGGTACTTTGCATGGTCTCCCACATGGCATCATCGGCTTCGTCGCCCATCACCATTGGAGGCATGGTTTCCATTTACCTACGCTTGAGGATCTCTGGTCCTTTCTTGCCCTGTTGATATCAGTCTTGAATGAGTTTGATCTAGCAGCTTCTAGCATGCGAGGCACATCATGAGAGCACAGTACTTAAACATTGTGTGCGTACCTTTTGCACCCATTTTGAATAATTGGCAAATAGTAGTGTTCAGGCTTGATTCGTTGGAAACATGGCATGTGATAGGATTGCGTGGGAGTATATGGCATGATCGCATGTTTTTGCACATTAACCTCGTTCAGATCGCTCGCATGTCTGTCAACATGAGGCATCGAGGCAAACCAGTACTTTCGCGACCGCACTTTGCTGCCGTCCAGGGCTGACTGCCCGCTTGCGGCGATGTACGTAGCGGTAAACGACATACCCTGGCGGCTATGGCGTTCACTTTCGCCCTTCCGAGTCCGTCAACGACCACGGTCCTTCGCGAATGAGGACTGTTATTCGAGCAGATTCGCACCATTATACAGCTTCGAGAAAAAGGCAGTCGGCAGCATGGCACTGGGGCAGGCTCGGCCAGCGCCGCTCCACCCATGCCCAGCCCATGCCAAAGCGACGAGCCGCTCCTCGAGCGAGTGCTCGAGCTAGCCGGACCAGCGAATCCCGGTCGTTTGCTGCTGCGCCCGCAGCGGTCTTGAGCGCGAAGGTGCCGTGCCTCGCTTGTCCTCCGCACGGCAGCGTCCGTCGAGCAGGCTGGTGCAAGGTGCATGGCCCGTGAAGACGGCGCACACCTGCCCGGAGGAAAGGAGGGACGTCCTGCAGCGTGGGCACTGGCTTTCGCAGCTCGGCCTGCATGTCGATGAGGTCGAGGTCTTGCCATTCAAGCCTGCCTGCCGATCGCAGCGCGCGGAACTGCGGTCGTAGCGTCGACGGCAGGATGATTGTCAGGCGTTTCTGGTACCGCCGGCGGTGGGCCCGCCTCTGCTCGACTGTGACGCCGCCGAGGCGCTCGCGGGACGGCGGTCTGCACGGCCGCTCGCGCGCGATCGGCAAGGGCTGCAGCCTCAGCGGCGAGCGTGATGCCTCCGAAAAGCTGGAGGAAAGCAGACTGTGTGGCCGCGGTTAGATAACCGTATGCACCTGCGGCGGCCGAGACCGCTTGATGGAGCGTCAAGCATGCAGTCGGCC